GCTTTCTTGGGTCGAGCAGTCGGAACTCTGCAAGGAAGAAGCGCAGACGGCGAGCCTCCTTGCCGGCTTCGGTAGCTGCGACGTACTCTGATTCGGTCGAGGAAAGCGTCACGCACTTGATGCGCTGGCTCGACCAAGAGACTGCGGCTCCTCCGAAGATGAAAACGTAGCCGCCCGTGCTCGTCCGAGTCTGCTTGTCACCAGCGTCGTCAGCATCTGCATAACCGACCACACACAGCGACTCTGGTCCGCCGCCGAACTCCAGAGCGGCGTCACGAGTTTCAGCGAGGTAGTGCAGACAGCGATCGGCCTCACGCCAGTGGTTGTCGCTCCGCACCGTCAGGCCAGATCCGAGCTTGCTGCAAGCGAACGCAATGTCGGGCCTCGTCGCGGTGGCCGCGAACTGCAGCGAGCCGACCTTCTGCCGATACTCTGCTTCCTCGCGCGACTGAAACTCCTCGTCGTCGAACACCAGCTCTGCGTAGGCGTCGACGGAGACCGGCGTCTTCGGCACTCGTCCGGTCTGCTCCTCGTCGATGAAACGGCGACGCAGTTTGTCGACGTAGACTTGCTGATGGAGCCACAGCTTCCGCGCAGGACGGTCGCGCACGATTTCCAGCCCGAGATACTTCTCGACCGGGCTGATTTCGCGCAGCTCAAATGCGGCATGCAGCAGCTCCTTCAGCATGGCAGTGCTGCTGCTTGCGGCGAGCAGGTCGTCGACGTAGACGAGCACCCAACACGCCACTCCGTCGTCGCCGACCTTGAAGTAGAGCGCTTCGTCTACCTGGCTCTTGCTCCAACCGGCGTCGATCAGCACCGCGTCGAGCGCAGAGCACCACAGCAGCGGACTCTATTTCAGGCCGTACAAGCTCTTCAGCAGCTTGCAGACGCGGTCGGTTCCGTCGTTGAAGTAGTCGGGCTGGTACATGTAGAGGACGCGATCCAGCTTGCTCTGCAGAAACGCATTTTTCATGTCGAGCTGCATCACGTGCAGGTCGAGGACTGCTACAATGCTCAGGAAGATCCGCAGAGTTACGTAGCTCCCCACCGGCGCGTACGTCTCATCGTAATCTGCGCCGTAGATCTGCGTGAAGCCCTTCACCACCAAACGCGCCTTCTCGCGGGCAACCGTGTCGTCGACGTGGTACTTCGTCGTGAGTACCCAACGATTCTTCATCACGTTGACACCGCGCGGACGCTCGACCAGCTCCCACGTTCCGTTGGAGATGAGACTCTTGATCTCCTCGTCCATGGCCGTTTTCACCGCCTTGCCTTTCCAGCTCGCCAACGCCTCCTTCACCGTCATGTTGGCGATATCCCAGCGATGCTCTGGATCGGCGTGCATATCGGAGTCGAGCTCGGGCAGATCGATATCGTCCTCTGCGTCGTCGAGCAGAGTGCTGTAAGCCGTCGGCGGCAGACAAGCGTGGTAGCTCAGCTTCTCCGGCGGCTTGCCGATGTTGGGGCGGGTAGAACGGCGCAGTTTTTCCTTCTCGACAGCGACCTCTACCACGTCGTCATCTTCGGACTGCTCCCCTTCTCCGCCACCGGCCGCGCCGACGACTTCCACAACATCGTCGCTCGATGAATCATCGTCGAACTGCTCCCCTGTCGGCAGCTCCTCTACCAACTGCTCCCCCAGGATCGGCTGCTCTGCCAACGACTCCCCTGAAGGTGGCGCCTCTGCCAGTGGCTTCTCTGCAGGCTGCTTTGGCGCCTCTGCCAGCAGCTTCACTGCAGTCGGCTTCGACGCCGACAGCTCCCCTGTCGTCTGCCGCTTCCCGGCGCCGACCTTCTCGGCGTCACGTCGGCCACCGGCGATGAAACCGGTCGGCGCCGCAGGCGACGCACCAAGTCTCCCCTCAGTGCCGGCGGCCGACGAGGACACAACAGGAGGAGGGAGCGGGACTTCCACTACGTCCTCATCATCAGGCTCGTCGACGACGGCGAGCAGAGGAGGCAGCTCCGAGGAGGAATCCGGCGGCGGGGCAGACGGCGTCCTCGTCGATGCCGGCCCAGACTCTACCTTCCACATCTCCAGTGACAAGGTCTCGTAGAAGATCGCTTCGACCGTTATGACGATTTTGTTGTCCGTCAAGTCGAGCACCTCCCAGCCCTTGCTCTCCAGCGACACGCCCAGGTGGAGACCCCAACGAGCCTTCGGCGCCAGCTTCCCGCCGTGCTGCTGCTCGGGGACCATGAACTGCACCATGCAACCCCAAACCCGCGCCAGTGTCAAATCTGGCTTCGTCCCAAACAGCAGCTCGTGCGGCGTCGTCCCCTTTGGCAGAGAAGCCCGCTCGAGGCAGTTGCGCACCCAGACGGCCTGTCGCAGAGCGAGGTGCCACCAGTGGTGCTTAACGCCCATGTGCAGAAGCATCGTACGCACGGCCTCGACCACCGTGCGCATCTCCCGCTCGGCCATCCCGTTCTGCTGCGGAGTGTAGGGGCACGTCAGATTGTGGAGGATTCCCTTGTCCTCGACGAGGTCGGTGAAGGCGCGACCGAGGAACTCCCCTCCGCGGTCCGAACGCAACTTCTTCACCGTCTTCGACGTCTGCCGCTCCACCTCCTTCAGCCATCTGTCGAAGACGACCAGCACGTCGCTTTTCTTTGCGATCGGCCTCACCCACACGTAGCGAGTCTTCCTATCTTTCAGCAAAAGAAAGTAGAGGCTGCCATCTTTGGCGGCCACCCGAAACGGTCCGCAGAGGTCGATGTGCACCACATCGAGCGCGTTCTCGGCGTCCGATCCTTGGTCGGGGAAGGTGTGACGTGCAAGCTTGCCGCCAACGCAGGAGGTACACGGCACATCAGCTGCGGTCGACGTCTTGATGTCCAGACCAGCGGCGACCTCATGCTTCGCCGAGCTCTTGATCGTGTCGACGCCGACGTGCGCAAGCCGTGCGTGCAACATGTTCGGGGTCAACTTCGTCGCAGACGCGATCGTTCGTAGAGCCACAACCTCCGTCGAAGTCGTCGCAAACTTCGTCGAGCAGGGGCGCAGGTCGGTGCAGAGTACTCTGCCGGAGTAGCGTGCTCGACCAAGGACATCGCCGGCAGAAGACACCAGCAGCATCTCTCCGCCATCGTCCTGTAGCTTCACGCCGTTCTCCTTGAGCTGGCCAGCAGAGAGCAAGTTTGCGTGCACACCCGGAACGTAGAGTACGTCGGGGACGAGGACCTGCCTCCCAGCCTCCCCTTGCAGAACAACGGTGCCTCTGCCTTCGACGCTCTGAAGTGCCCCGTTGAAGCCGCGGACGTGGCGCACGTCTCCGCTCGGCTGCATGTCGACGAAGGCCTCCTTCGTCCCTATCAAATGGTGGGAGCAGCCACTGTCGAGCAGCACAACGGTCGGGTTCGCATGCACAGCAGCAGCGACCTTCTTGAAGTCTTCGCTGGCCTCCAGCGCCAGCGAGATCGTCGGCTCTACCACGCTGACCATCGAGCACGAAGCCTCTTCGCCACGAGCGTTGTCGCCAGAGGAGTCCGCATCCTTCGTCGAAGATGTCTTCGACGCCTGCCTGTTGTCCCGACGCCGACGACCGCCGTCGGACTTTCCGCGACTTTCCTTGTGGTCATTGTCGTCAGAGTTCTCGCGATCGGGGCAGTCATAGGAGAGGTGGTCGGGCGCATCTCAGATGCAGCAGCGTCGTCCTTCTCGGCGCGAGCCACCGCCTCTGCAGTCACCTCTCTTCGCCAACTTTCCGCGGTCGGCGCCCTCCGTCGATTTCGCGTTCAACGACTTCCAGCCACCGCCTCTGCCAGACTTCCCATTCTGCCCCTGTTGGCATCCCTGCTTCGCCGGGGCGACGTAGTTGGCCTGCGGAAGGAGCTCTGAGGACCGCTCAGACTCCTGCATGAACTCATCCTGGATGATGTGACTCGAAAGCGAATCCTCGTTCAGAGTCTCGCGCGCGCCAGGAATGAACAGCATCCGGCGCATCAGATTGTAGCTTGAAGGGAGATCGTTGATGACATGCGTGACATACGATGCCACCGAGTACTCGAAGCCAGCCATTCGCATGTCGGCCAAAATTCGCCGCGCTCGATTGCAGTACTCGGTCGCCGATTCCTGCTCGCCCATGCGAATGGTGGCCAATCGCTTCTCCAGTTGGCTGATGTAGAGGTCGTCGGTCGCTTTGTAGGTGCGCATGATGTACTGCCATGCTTGGTAGCCAGCATCCACCCGTTATCTGCATGACTTCAATGCGACCTGCACAAGAGGCGAACAACACCTCGAGATGACCATGAATGTCAGTAGATGAGGAGCACGAAATTCCGTCCAGAGTTCAGAGTCGTCTGCGTCCGGCATCTCAACATTGCCGTCGACGAACTTCTTCAATCCGGCGATCTCCAGCTGAGGCTCAATGGATTCAATCCACGTGATCAAGTCGTGTCGACCTTCGAGCGGCTTTGGCACAAGTGGTGGCTTTGGCATGTGATCAAGTCGTGTCGTGATTATCCTGCCCCTGCTGCCTCAAGTGGTGGCTTTGCTGCTTTGCTACCCAGCACTGCTCCTGACACAGCTTCGCCCTTCAGCCTACCAGCTCACTTTCCCTTCAGGTGGTCTGGCAAAACAGGTTCATACCCAGGAGCATACGTATCGGGAAGGACAGGCGGAGCGGAGACTGCTTTTGCTGATGCCGTTGCCTCCTATTTGGCTGCTGCTGCTGCTGCTGCTGCTGCTGCTGCTGCTGCTGAATCTGGTGCTATTGATGAAACTGCTGCTGGCCCGGGTGGTGATGTTCAGACCTCTCATGCCAGAGTAGGCTCGGCAATGGAAGCTGGATTGGTAGCAGCCGGCTCTGGTTTGGCAACCGGTCCTGCATTAGCTGTCCGTTCTAGGCTCAATGCTGGTGTTGCAGCAGGAACGGCATCAAGAGCAGGGTACAGTGTCAGTTCTGGTGTGAGGCTTGGATCAGGGGCTGATATCACAGATCGCTACCGGTATTCACAGAGACTAATTGGTGCAGAGAGGCGTGTGAGTAAGTTGGATGAGGAAGGTTTTTCACTTGGTGGAGGTGGTGGTGGTGGTGGTGGTGGTGGAGGAGGAGGAGGAGGAGGAGGAGGAGGAGGAGGAGGAGGAGGAGGAGGAGGAGGAGGAGGAGGAGGAGGAGGAGGAGGAGGAGGAGGAGGGAGAAGAGAGGGAGTACGAGCAGGAAAGCTGCAATCTCTTCATTCTGCTGCAGTAGCAAGCAAACACGTGTCTGTTCCGGGATTCAAGCCTTCTGGTCTGGCCGGTCCTTCACCTGGTCTGGCCAGACATCCACCTGGCCTGGCCAGACCTTCGTCTCAGGCATGGTTGCAGCAAACCCCCAGTGCAAGCTTGGCAACCTACCTCGGCATCGAGCCATCAGAGAACTCTGTGCAAAGAGTTTCGGAAGGGTTTTTGGAAAAAGGCCATAGAGTAGCCTCTTTCAGCAGTGTGTTTTTACAGGGAAATGTGGCGGACCAAGCCGCTTCTGGGGAGAAGTTTCGGGAGGAGGAAGGGGTAGAGGCTGAGTTGGAGCAGCTTCAGAGGGAGTGGAGGATTCAGCTGACTGAAAGGAGAAGGATAATGCATTGGCAAGGAGAGAGTAATGAGCGGAGGGAGGATGGTGGGGGGAATAAGGTGGACTTGCACGGAAACCAACATCTGAATGATCGAGGAGAAGAGGTGGGGAAAGGGACAAGGAAGAGGTGGGAGTGACAAAGAATGTATCTAAGAAGGCGATTTTAGAGAATATAAAATGACAAGAAGTTGATAATCAAGCAAGCATAATATGATTCCAGTACTTCAATCATAAGTTATTCCACATAGTATTCTGTCTACTATATTATGATTATATATACAGCAATAGTTGATATAATATCTGGTGAGAGCTGTGTTTTGATATCTTGAAGTTCAACCTGTTTTGGCTACATTTGCAAGACCGTTCTGGATCACTTCCTAACGAGTCTTCAGGGAAGCATCCAAGTTGGTTTTCAGTCACTGGGAATGTCGCCAAAGCAGATTTTCCAATGTGAAAAAAGATTTTTGTTTCTACTTCCACTCACCGCGGCTCGACAGACTTACTAGGACGGATGCTGGAGTTCCTAACTTCCACGAATCGGCTCCAGGTTACATACCACATCTTCGAACTATATTCAGTAACTCCCTAATTTTAACTATATTCAGTAACTCCCACATCTTTTTGGGTGAGATAATATTATCCAGCCTGTGTGTTCAAATTTTTCATCGAGCGCCGCGTGAAACCCGGGCAGAATGGAACTCGCGCACGCGCTGGACGAGGCGGGGATTCTCGACGGCCTATTGGAAGCCGCCACGTCAGCAAAGCCACACGTCAGAAATCAGGCGCTTCGTGCGTTGAGCCGTTTCTCCCACTCAGAATATGTCAGTTCACCAACCCTCCTTCCGAATCCCTCATCTCTTCATCCCCCTCCCCGTCCTCCGATTTTCTGTGCGGCTGATTCTTCTTCTGATCTTGCCAGTTCTTGCTGCTACGCAAGAGCATCCTGCCTCTGCCGCACGCCTCTGAAGCATCCCTTTCGAATCGACCCAAAAGTCAATTCAAGTCGACTAAAAGAACTTGGCTGTCGTTTCTGCTACGCGAGAGCATTTTCTCTCTGCTCGCCCGCTCGCTCTCACATTCCCTTTCTCACGCTTATATCTCTGAGTTCCCCACAAACATTTAGTTCCTATTGATGATAATGGGCGTTCTGCTTCTGCGCAACGAATTCGTGAAAGCACGTGCACGTGCATTTTCTACCCTCTCCCCTATCCCCTCTCCCCGATCCCCTCTCCCCTCTCCCCTCTCCCATCCCCATCTCCCCTCTCCCCTCTCCCTCTCCCCTCTCCTCTCTCCCCACTCCCACCTCCCCTATCCCCTCTCCCCTCTCCCCTCTCCCCTCTCCCATCTCTCCTCTCCCCTCTCCCCTTGCCTTACCTTCTCTATTTTCCCCTGCTAATAAGCAAGGGAATTCTCCTCAGTGCGACGAATTCGTGCAAGGGTTGTGCATTTCGCCGCCCATTATCCTCCCCCCTCTCCCCTCTCCCCTCTCTCCTCCCCCCTCTCCCCTCTCCCCTCTCTCCTCTCCCCTCTCCCCTCTCTCCTCTCCCCTCTCCCCTCTTCCGTCTCCCCCCACCCTCTCTGCTTTCACCCAGAGACACTCATGTCAATGCTAATGAGCAAGTTCTACTGCCAATTGTGCTGCCGATTGTGCTGAAAGCACGTTCACGTGCATTCTCTAGCATCCCCTCTTCCCTCACCCTCTCTGCTCCCCCCACAGACACTCGAGTCCCTGCTAATGAGCAAGGGCATTCTGCCTGTGCTCTTCTCTATCGCCCCTTTATCTACCCTCACCCGTCTCACCCTCTCTCCTCCCCCCACAGACACTCAAGTCCCTGCTAATGAGCAAGGGCATTCTGCCTGTGCTCTTCTCTATCGCCCCTTTATCTACCCTCACCCGTCTCACCCTCTCTCCTCCCCCCACAGATACTCAAGTCCCTGCTAATGAGCAAGGGCATTCTGCCTGTGCTCACACGCTCGCTCTCCCACCTGCCCCCCGTGCCCTCTCCCCTCGCCCCTTTCCCCTCTCTCCTCCCCCCACAGACACTCAAGTCCCTGCTGATCAGCAAGGGCATTCTGCCTTTGCTCGCACGCTTGCTCTCCCACCTGCCCCCCATGCCCGCATCTCCTGTCTCTCATAGTGCTGACGCTGACGCCCGGACTGGCCCTGCTTCTGCTGCTGCGGCTGATTGTGCTGCTCATAGTGCTTACGCTGGGATGGGACAGGCCCAGCTGCTGGTTATGCTGACGCCGGGATCGGCCCTGCTGCTACGTCTGCAGCTGATTGTGCCGCTCTTCATAGTGCTGACGTTGGGACTGGTCCTGGGTCTGGCCGTGCTGTTCCTGCAGCTGATTGTGCTGCTCATAGTGCCGACGCCGGGACAGCCCCTGCTTCCGGCCGTGCTGGTTCTGCTGCTGATTGCTCTAACTCTAGGGCTGATCCCGCTGTTGACCCTGAAGGTGCTGGGGAGGGGCAAGGAGCAAGGATGGAGGAGCAAACGCGGGCGACGGAAGAGCAGCAGGAGCAGCGGGAGCAGGGGGTTGGGTTGAGAGAAGGGGGTTGTGGCTGTAGGGCGTGCAAGCAGCAGTCGCTGCATGCCACTGTAGCCAGCTGCCTGTGGGGTCTGGCGTGTGCCCACCCAGGGAACAAACGCAAGGTGGGTGGAGAGCGGTGCGATTGGGTTGAGATGGACTTAGATGGCGGTGCTGGTAGTGCAAGCAGCAGTCGCTGCATGCCATTGTAGTGAGCTGTCTGCGGGGTCTGGCGTGTGCCCACCCAGGGAACAAACGCAAGGTGGGTTGAGAGTGGTGCAATGGGGTGCGTTTCGGTTGAGACGGCATGAGACAGGTTAAGATGGGTGGCGAGGGGTTGGGATGTGATGTATTTGGGTTGGGACGGTGTGAGTCAGGTTAAGATGTGTTCGACACAGTGATCTTGATAGTACAAGCAGCAGTCGCTGCATGCCACTGTAGTGAGCTGTCTGTGAGGGCTGGCGTGTGCCCACCCAGGGAACAAACGCAAGGTGGGTGGATAGTGGTGCAATCGGGTGTGATTGGGTTAAGATGGTGCGAGACAGGCTAAGATGGTTTGAGATGGTGGTGTTGGTAGTGCAAGCAAGCAGCAGTCACTGCATGTCAATGTAGTGAGCTTCCTGTGGTGTTTGGCGTGTGCTCATGATGTGACTGTCGTGCGATGTGACTGTGGTATGGTGTGACTGTGGGTGATGTGACTGTGGGTGAAGTGACTGTGGGCGATGTGACTGTGGGTGTTGTGACTGGGGGTGATATGACACGTTATCTATGCAGAGCAGCTTGGGGAGGAAGGCGCACTGGACCTGCTCGCTCGGATCCTGCAGCACCACTGCCGCCACCATTGGCACCGCACTGTTCGCTGCAGTCACCACTTGAACCGCACCCACTGCTGCAACCACCACCATGCGCCTGGGCGAGAGTGTCGTGCTGTGAAAGGGAAACACGTCAGCACCAGGAAAGACGATACGAGACGGGAAGCCTCAAGGCGGGAATATTTGAGCCGGGAAGGCGATGTGTTGGCGCTGAAACACTCCTGCCTCGCTGTGTGGAGCATCTGCTACTCTGTAAGAGCGTTTTTAGAAAATACTCTTTTCCATCACTCCATTCAGTCAGTTTCAAGCAACTAGAGGTCTCCTCGTTTGTTATTCTCGCTCACTTTCTCCTTGCACACTCTCTCGCGCTCTCAAGTTGATTCGAACTGCCTACGTGCTGAGACGGCAGGCCTGCTGCCATTGCTGCTCGCCCTGCTTAGCCATCACCATCAGCCCTCACCATCAGCCGCTCACTCATCTCCTTGCACTCTCCCTCTCTCAGGTTGATTCGAACTGCCTACGTGCTGAGTCAGCAGGCCTGCTGCCGTTGCTGCTAGCCCTGCTTAGCCATCACCATCGGCCCTCGGTGCAGGTACTCTCACAGTTTCACTCCCTTTGTTGCGCTGCTGAGTCAGCAGGCCTGCTGCCATTGCCTCTCGCGCTGCTTTGTCACCATCAGCCCTCGATGCAGGTACTCTCACACTCTCACCGTCCGACTTTTGATGCGCCTCAAAAGTACTCTCACTTTCGCGGTCCGCCTGCTCTTTCCCCCATTCTTCCCTTCCCGCCTCTCGTTTCTTCTCCCCAAGCCTCCCACACCCCCGCCCCCCAACCCCTGCTCAATTTTGTTAGATTGTACTTTTGTTTTATCACATATTTTCCACAGCACCGCATCTCTATTTGTCCTCCCTCCCTCTCTCCCCTTTTCCCTGTCCCCTTTTACTCTGTCATTCTTATATCTGCTCCCGAGTACTGTGTCTCCCCATTCTCTCTCCCTCCGTTTTCTCTCCTCCCACTCTCTGTCCTCCCTTTTTCCCCCACACACACAGTATGCAGCAGCGGGGGCGCTATGGCACATTTCAGCCAATCAGAGCCTAGGTCCCACTCTCATCGTGCGCTACAGATGCCTACTGCCCCTCCTGAGCCTGCTTGATCAGTCGCTGCCCCAGTCAACGCTGGTCAACTGTACTGGGTGCCAGTCAACGCATGCTGACTGTAGGCAGGGCCAGTCAACGCAGGTCAACTGCAGTCAGTGCCAGGCAGCGTTCACTCAGTGTCAGTCAACGCCGGTCAACTGTAGGCAGTGCCAGCCAATGCAGAATAACTGCAGTGAGTGTGCGTTGCTGCAGCAGAATGAAAATTTGCAACAAGTGGGGGAGAGGGGAGAGCATGGGATGGTGGAAGGAGGGAGAGGGGTTAATAGGTGTCAAGAGAGGCGAGATGGGGAAGGAGGTGAAGGGAAAGGAAGGGGAGGAGTGGAAGGAGGAGAGGAAGGGGAAATTGGTTTTAGAGTGCAAGGTGGGGAAGGAGGGGGAGGAGAAGGAGAGGTAGAGGAGATGGGGAGGAGTAGGGAGCAAGGAATGGGAGAAGGACTGGGTACAAGTGAAAGGGACTATTCTAGAAGGGAAGAAGAGAAAGAGGAGGAAATGGAAGGGATGGAGGAGGAAGAAGCAGAGGAGGAGGAAGAAGAGGAAGACGATGAAGACGAGGAAGAGGAAGTGGAGGAGGAAGAGGAGGGGAAGCGAGAAGAGGCTCGGCTGTATGCGTGCCTAACCCTCGCTAATCTCTGCCTGCTTCTGGAAGGTTCTCAGGTCATGCAGGATAGCGATGAACATCCCTTGGCCAACTCTTGTCATTCCAATGCGACACATGGGACTGATGCGACGGATGCAACACTTTTTTCTGTGGGAAAGAGTGTTGAAACTTCTCAAAATGTGGGCAAGCAAGAGAGGGCCTCCTCTTCTTCTTCCCTCACACAAGCACAGCAACACCTCCTCTCCTCCCCCACACTCCCCTCCATCTCCTCCTTCCTCCTCGCCTCTCACCCCTCCTCCCTCCCCCTCCACCTCATCTGGACCACCGTCTCTCCGATCGTACGGCTGCTGCGCTGCCACGTGGCGCCGATCCGAGGGCTGGGAGCGCTGCTGGCTGCTGCAGTGTGCAAGAGCAGGGGGGGCAAGGAGGAGCACGGAGCTATGTTCTTCTTAGAAGGGGCTGTGGGGATTCTGATGGAAATGGCGGCTTTTGAGGCGCACCAGAAGAGGGAGGAGGATGGAGCAATGGCCAAGCACGGCACTATGGGCATATCAGAGGGGGCTGTGGGGGTAATGGTGGGAATAGCAGAGGAGGTTGAGCCTGGTAGGGTGGAGAGAGAGAAGCAGGAGGAGGAGCAGAGGGAGGAGCAGAAGAGAACCCAGTGGGAAAAGAAGAGGGGGAAGAAGAGGCAGGAGGAGAGGGAAGAGCAGGAGGATCGAGTGCGGGTGAAAGCAGCGGAGTTTGCTCGCCTTGCCCTGGGTTACCTTGATGTACGGCTGACCAAGCTGCTCACTGTGCCTACCAGAGGCACACCATCAGCCATGACTGGGGCCGGTGAGGGGCGTGGGGGGGCCGGTGAGGGGCGTGGGGGGGGCGGTGAGGGGCGTGGGGGGGCCGGTGAGGGGCGTGGGGGGGCCGGTGAGGGGCGTGGCGGGGCCGGTGAGGGGCGTGGCGGGGCCGGTGAGGGCCTTGCCCTGGGCTACATTGATGAGTCGGTGAATAGGCTGCCCACTGCCCCTGGCACAGGCCACCCCTCAGGCATGCCCTGCCGCGAAGTTCCTTGTGGGGCTGGTGAGGGGAGTGGTGGGACCGGGGACAGGACCAGCGTTCCCGGTTTCAGTGAGGGCAGGAGCCAGAGTCTGCCATGTGAGGAGAGGAGCAGCAGTGGCAGCAGCGGTAGCAGCAGCAGCAACAACAGCAGCAATAGCAGCAGGGGTGGGGCAAGCAAGGCTGCAGGTACCACATCTTGTGTGATCTGCTGTGAGGAGGCGGACTGCCCCCCTATTGACCCGTGCGGCCATGCTGTTGCCTGCCCCTCCTGCCTCCTCTGCCTCCTCTCCCGGAAGCAGCCCTGCCCCATCTGCCGCTCTGCCATTGGTTGAATAGTTCCGTCTGCCAACAGCAGTGGCGGCGGCGACAGCAGCAGCAATTGCAGATGGGGTGGGGTTTAGGGTTTAGAAGTTACGGTTTAGGGTTGCCATGCTGTTGCCTGCTCCTCCTGCCTCCTCTGCCTCGTCACCCGGAGACACCCCTGTCCCATCTGCCGCTCTGCCATTGGTTGACTGATCTTCGAAATGTTGCTGCTGTGGTAGGTAGGTGCGTGCTGGGGTTGGTTCCAGGTTCCGTTTTGACAGCATCCGCAGCAGCTAACCCCAGCAGCATATAACAGCCCTGCCCCACCCCACGCCAAGCCCTTCTCAGTCACCCATCTGCATGAACCAATCTTGTCCTGTTTCTAAGATCGGCCGGCATGGGTTGACTCTACTAGCTGCAACACCACCTCAAGGTACTCTTATCGGATTGTGTTGTGTTTGTGAGTTGTACGGGGTATGGTAATGCTGATAGCCGAAATTGCATTAGTAAGAGTACCGGTAGCAGTGATGGGATTGGTACACCACTTCTAGTAATGATAATAATATAACTGGTAATGAGGTAGCATCAACTACAATAATATGAATCTGTACAGAAACACAGGCTTCAGAACCAGATAAAATCTGGTGAGAACCAAGTCGTCTCATGGCTCGCGGTTTTGAGGCGCCTCAAAAAAAATATGTCAGCCTGTGTACCCTAGGTGTAGCTCCGGCTCCCTCAGGTCCAGGCTGCTAGGTGCTCACATCTCTACTCCAGTGTCTATTCGCACCAGTTGAGTGCTCTCCGCCGATCCGCTGCTGCTGACTGAACGGAGGGGGAGGCGTGAGTGCGGTGGGGGACGCGCAACTCACTCTCAGGGTACATTCCGCTCTGGACATGTCCCAATCGTACATGTCCCAATCGGGTGTACCGCTCCGAACCGAACTAAACCAGAGACGCGAAAATTTTGACAATGTTAGAAACTAGGGTGTAATTCGGTGTAATAAGATGCAGTGCGGTGGAATCGATTGGGACATGTACGATTGGGACATGTCCAGAGCGGAATGTACCCTCAGTCAATGCGAGACTGTTGCGTGCTCACATCTCTACTCCAGTGTCAATTCGCGCCAGTTGAGTGCTCTCCGCCGATCCGCTGCTGCTCACAGAGCGGTGGGGGAGGGGCGGGGCAGCAGCAGAGTGTGTGCGGCGAAGCATTCTGGTGAGAGTGTGCCTGCCGCTGCTGCTAGTGGTGGTGGTGCTGGTGGGAAGAGTAGGATGGAACAGTGCATGCATGTGTGACTGTAAAGGGTGTGTCAGTAGATGGTGTGGCTGTGCAGGGTGTGACTGAAACGGTGGTGGCTGAATCTCCAGCACAATAACCGAGATATCGTCGTGGATCTTCCTGCGCTGGGTGCCGAGGGGGAGAGAGGAGAGGGCGGAGGGGTGGGAGCCTGTGTGCTCTGCAGCCCTCTCGAGAGCCTCCCTCACCAACCCCTCGGCAATGTTTCCACTGCTGCTGTCAGTGCCATTGCTCGTGGCATTGCGTTGGGTGCCCAGGGGGAGAGAGGAGAGGGCGGAGGGGTGGGAGCCTGTGCGCTCTGCAGCCCTCTCAATAGCTTCTCTCACCAACCCCTCTGCAATGTTTCCACTGCCGTTGCTGCTGTTGCTGTTGTTGTTGCTGCTGCTGCTCGTGCTTTGAGTTACCGCAGGCGGTTTTCGAGAGCTCTCACTGGCCATCTTAAGAGCTTCTTTCACCAGCCCCCCTGCTATGTTGTTGCTGCTGCTCCTTGTAAATTGGTTGTCTGTTACTGCTGTTTCCGTTACTGCCCCTGCCCCTGATGGTGCTGACGCTGCACCTGCACCTGCTGCTGCTGCTGCTCCTGTTACTCTTGCTGCCCCTGCCGCCCCTGCTCCTCCTGCTGCTCCTGCACCTCCTCCCCCACGTCCTCTCTCTTCCCCCACCCCTGTCTCAACCCACTTCTTACTGCCAATCCGAAAGCTTCCCCCCAAAGACATCCCTCTGGTCAGCCTACGAACTCCCGAACCTCCATGTGCCGAACCTAAAATTCCCGAACCTCCATGTGCTGAACCTAAAATTCCCGAACCTCCATGTGCCGAACCAGCTGCTACTGGCTGGAGGAAGAAACTGGCTAGGGTGGGGCCGAGGCAGTGGGAAACGTCCTTGGTTTGCATGTGCTGATACAGACCGTCGGATGAGAGGATGAGGAGCCGATCCGACGGTGAGATTCGCACGTGGCGGAGGTGCGGCAAGGAGGAGAGGTATGGTTCCGAAGCTGAAGCTGAGGCTTGGTACTTGACTCGGAACATGCCCAGCAGGGCATCGTTGATTGTTTGCTGCAGTGAGGGGCGATAGGGAGGTGAGAAAAGAGGGGAGGAAGTGGGTGGGGTGATGTGTGTAGGGTAGGGAAGGGCAGGGAAGGGCAGGGAGAAAAGGGCAGGACAAGGAATGGCAGGGCAGGGCAAGCTCTAAAAGGTAAGCACTCACGTCCTTGAGGTAAGCACTCACGTCCTTGAGGTAAGCTGCACCAAAGGCGCGTGTGAGCTTGATCTTGCCCTTTAGACGCCCCCTCTTGATGACGTCACTGTCTGCATGTGCCTGCTGCACCCGCCGCACCTCCTGTAGTTTGCATGGGGGAAGGGGTGCGAGGGGTGTTGCTCGTTACAGGTATTGCATGGTATAAATTACTGTTAGCCTGTCGTGCTTGTGGCCTAACGGGAGGCAGGTTGTACCTCTTTGTTGTGAGCTCATTTCCATGGCGTTCATTTCCATGGCGTTCATTTCCATGGCGTTCATTTCCATGGCGTTCATTTCCATGGCCCCAAAGTGGAAACTCACAGCAGCATCAGTTGTGCCGTGAAGTGTCCGGAACTTTTGAGGCGCCTCAAAAGTTGCGAAGTCGACTCATCATGTTCCTGTGAGTCGACTTAAAACGGAACTTCATAAGAGTCACTTGGGGGAAGAGAGGTAGGTCTCCCACTGTCATTACTCGAAAGGAGAAATGCGAGGAGGGGAGGAGGGTGATAGAAGAAGAGAGAGGACTCACAGCAGCATTGCTCGTGTTGTGGTCCCCTGTCAGTCTCTCTGCCTTCTTTGTGTCAGTCTGAGAATTTCCACAAGTGAATTTTCCTAGAGTGTAGACTCACAGCAGCATTGCTCGTGTTATGGTCCACTGTCAGTCTCTCTGCCTTCCACCTCCACACTCCCCCTCCTCTGCCTCCTCCCTTCTCCCCTCCTCCTGCTTCCCCTCCTCCTGCACCCCTGCTTCCCGCACTTTCCATTGCCCCAACAGCCCCACTAATCTCACCCCTCTCCCACTTCTCCCCCTTCTCCCATATTTCCCCCGTTTCCCCCACTTTCTCTCTTCTGCCACTCCCTTTGCTGCTACCACTCCCCTCTCCCTCCCCTCTTCCACCACTCCCCCATCCCCCACTTCCCCCTCGCCCACGTCCCCCTTCCCCGCTTCTCCTCCTTCCGCTCACACGGCTAGCACTCCCTCCCCCTCCCACTCCCGCCCCCTTCCTCAACACCCCCCGCCATCCCCTCCCCACCTCTTCCCCCCGTACAATCACAGCCCTACTATCCCCCAAATTAATCACATAAACATCCGTGGCTGTGACTATAGCAGCAACTAAAGACGCCCCTCCTACCGCGTACTCCGGCTGGTCTTTAGAGACGTCTTTAACTCGCGTCAGAAAGGAGGACTCGGTAGAGGCAAGGGCGCGTTCTAAGGCGCCTAAGATCATTTGGTGTCTTCTGTGGTCGTTACCTGGCTCTTGCAAGGCCTTTGGCACATGGAGAGGGTGCTGCTGCTGCTGCTGCCGTTCCTGGTGGTGATGATGGTGCTGTTGCTGCTGCTGCTGCTGCTGCTGCTGCTGCTGCTGCTGCTGCTGCTGCTGCTGCTGCTGCTGCTGCTGCTGCTGCTGCTGCTGCTGCTGCTGCTGCTGCTGCTGCTGCTGCTGCTGCTGCTGCTGCTGCTGCGACTGTTTCTGACCATGTCCCACGACTTGTTTGATCCCCTTCCCTTCCTCCTTCCCTTCTCCATTACCTTCTCCCTCCTTCTCTCCCCTCAGCTTTCCATTCTGAGAGCCATCAGACCCTCTCTCCTGCCGCACCCCCTGTGCCTTTTCAGATGCACCCTCCTGGCCCATTCTGTGATCCTGGTTATCCCCAGGGAATGCTTCTTGGTCATCCTGGTTATCAGAAGCTTCCGACCAATCAGAGCGGCTTCGCTCCCTTGGGAATGCTTTCCTGCTCGCCCTCCCCACCTCACCCAACGTCCACCTTAGCTTACCCTTCGACTCACTCCCGCCCGTTCCCTCACACGCACCCTCCTGCTCCAATCCCTCCGTCTCTTCCGAAGCTTCTGACCAATCAGAGCGGCTTCGGTCCCTCGGGAACGCTTTCCGACTCGCCCTGCCCATCTTACGCACCATCCACCTCATCTTTCCTTTCAACTCACCCCCACCTGTACTCTCACACTCACACCCGCACTCACACGTCCCTTCTAAACCACCAGATGCCCTGTGGTTGTGGTCGTGCCCCCTCCCACTCTCGGTGCATGCTTGACAGTGCAGACCACATGTGAGATGCTGGCCGTTTCCGTGAGATTCCTGGGAGGGCAAGCCGCCACCGCCACAACCATCCAGGTGCAGAGAATTTTCTTGAGAGTCTAGGTGCAGTGTATGCAGGCCGCACGCGTCCAGCTGGTGGCACAGTGCGGTGTAGAGGTGTGCGAGCAGGTAATCCACGGCGTGCCGCTCTGCGAAGCCGTCATACACCGCTGCAAAGACAAAGCCCCGTGAGGGTGAGACGAGCACGTGGGAGCGGTCCTCCCCTGCCATTGCCACCGCCTCTTCTTGCTCTCGCTGCCGTTGGTCTTGCTGCTCATCCTTCTGCTTCTGATCTTGTTGTTGCTGCTGCCCCTGATGCTGCTGCTGCTGCTGCTGCCCCTGCTGTTCCTGCTGCTTCTGTGCCATCTTCAAACCTTTCACTGATGCTCCAGCTGTAGCAGACGCAGCATTATCAGCAGCAGCAACGCTATCCATGCGCCAAGCCACCAAAGCCTCTGCAGCAATCCCCCGCCCTGCCTCGTCCCCCCTCACCCTTCCACCTCCACCTCCTTCTCCTACTCCTGTTTCCCTCGCTATACTCACCCCCCCCTCGTCATTGTCACACCTCGATTCAGCGGGACCACCTCCGAAGCAGCACAGAAAACCACCGCCTCGGCCCGGTCGTCGCCTTCTCCCTGCGCCTTCTCCTGCCTTCTCCCCCTCCCCGTCCTCCGTTCCCCTCTCCTCACTGCCTTCTCCCGGCCTCCGCTCCTGCACCTTCCCCTGCGCCTTCTCCTGCTCCTGCGCCTGTGTCTGCGCCTGCGAATTTGCCTCCGCCTGCCCCTGCGCCTGCACCTGCTCCGCCTCCGCCTCCGCCCTGCGGAACGGGTGCGTGAGCGCGGACCAAGCGAACCCGGGGGACGATCTCAGCGGGCAGTACGGCGCGAGGCACATTCCCCCGTCCGCCTCCCCGCTTCCGCCTGTCGTGTCGTTTCCGCCAGCCGCATCTCCGCAAGTCGGTGCATTTCCGCCAGGCGAGCGCCCATGGTCCCCCGCGAAGGGGTCGTTCGCCGCAATGCACGCGCCGTGGATCCTCACCATCGCCGTCCACCGCCGCCCGGACCTTCCGCCGCAGCCAGGCCCGCCGATTCCGGCACCAGGGCCGCCCGCCCCGCCACCGGCGCGGGCGACAGTCCCGCGCGTGACAGCAGAGGCGGCGGCGTCGTTCTCGCCTGCTTTCATTCCTTGGCTACCTAGCGGGGAGCTGCAAGCAGCGGTACGGTGGTTTCGCCGTCGTTCTGGCTGCTATGCGTAATACGCCTAATGTGGTTTAAGAAGTTGATCAGGTTAACAGCGGTGCTCCGCGATCAGCGTATTTTCGGCTGCCGCGTCGGTTACGGAACACACTGCTTTGTACTATACTGAGCGCACTTCTGTGCTAACGGAGGAAGAGTATTGCTGGATAAACGGGTTCTGACTGTTCTCCTTTGCAGGACATCCCTAATTGCGAGTAATTACAGGAAGGCAGTGGTGAGGCGCTGACTTGCTGGCGCGGTGCGGCAATCAGGAAAAGTCACAACCGTTCAATCTCGCTCAGAACCCTATTTAACCAATGTAGAACAAGAACGAACCATTTTGCCCCGCAAAGCGTTCACCCAAACCGCGATCTTCATTGTCAGAGTTTGAGTGTTGTGGTGGAGAGGTCGTGCACGATAGTTCACTGTTCACGAAAGATAGTTATGGTCGGACGAACAGTAACAAAAATTTACGAGTCGGCGAAAGTCCAGCGGTGGAGAGAGGAAGGAGACTTACTGGTCGGCGAAACGAATCCAGTGTGCTTATCCAATGTGCTTCGCACTTTATGAACAAATGGAGATCGACCACGTAAGCTGATAGTCCTTCATTTAAGGTCCCCCGGTTTATCAGTAAGATGAAGACAAAAACAATATATTTTCATACAGTTTGTGATCATAATCTGATAGTGAAGCGACCCATGACGAGGACACAATAGAGGTGAAGTTACCCCTAGATTGCTACTGGAATCGGATGTAAAGAATATAGGTAGAGGTTCTAGCAAGACAATTCCTGGAGGCCCTGTCGTAAACAGACCCTGGTTCAAACATAGAATACTCCTAGTTTCCTGTATTTGAGGCATACACGCCACTACGAGGTATGTGTGTTTCGTCTCTAATCTTCGTCGTTAGCTTGTTCGCCAGTTATGCGTCTCCAGTCGTGAATCTGGTATCGCGTGGATCTCCGTGCGCAGCTTGCTGCATCTCTCTATGATCAACAGCATCAAGCCTTGCTTGTTACGCTTGAAAACACAAAGAAGCCGGTTTTTGCTGGCAGACTCATTTTCGACCGTTGCCATCGCAAGAATGAACCAGCCGAACCTTGAGCCGCCAGAGAAGCCGCTTCCAAGTGACTGCTGCGGTAGCGGTTGCAGCCCGTGCGTGTGGGAGACGTATTACGAGGAGCTTGAGAAATACAACGCAGCTAAAGCCAAGGCTGACGCCGAACCGAAGGGAGTGATGTGTCAAGCGCAGAAAACGGAGTCATGTACCGCTCCTGGTCAACAAAAATGACATCTAATCTTCTGCACGGTACAACAGATGCTGTTGACGTACCGTACCTCTTTTCATAGTACACTGACCTTTGCCTTGTTGAATTTTCGCTCTAATCCAGTCTGCTTCATGGACTAAAAACTAGATAAGGGTAACTCTGCACCTCTGCAACTCTGCTTGATAGATAAGGGTTTCAAAACTAGAAGCTTATGACCAAACCGTCTAACGTTTCAGAAAACCAAAGCGTTGATCCCCTCCCCTCCCCCCCACCCCTGAGCTACCACGTCCAACCGAGCCTGCCCCACTGCCTGAGCCTGTTCCGCATGTGGCTTTTCAGTCAACTCCAAAGTCACTTATTGGGTCGACTCAGAAATCCAGAGCATTGCTTCCCCCACCTGAACTACCACATCCAACCGAGCCTCCCCCGCCGCTTGAACCTGCTGCTCCCCCTGTGGCATCGATCGGGGGTGGGTGTGCCTCCTCCACCACTATCTGTCGCTTCCTGTTCACTGCTCTCAGCACCAGAGTGGTCACTGCTGGCATGCGAGGCACCTGACAGGGGACGAGAAGAAGACATAAAAGAAAGCAAGAAAAGTGAGACATGGTTTCAGAGCTTGCTGTTCCCCCTGGAGCATCGATGGGGGGTGGGTTGCCTCCTCAACCACTATCTGTCGCTTCCTGTTCACTGCTCTCAGCACCAGAGTGGTCACTGCCGGCATACAAGGCACCTGATAGGGGAAGAGGACATAATGAGAGGCAAGAAACGAACTGAGAGCCGGTGGCATCAATGTGCTGGCATACCTATGACGAGGCACCTGCAGAAGTAATCAATAAACCTCAGAATTCGAAACAACTAATTGTCGTTTTCCTGCGCTGAATCTAGCATACCTGGGTATTGACATGGTCACTGACTCACTGTTGCCATGCAGGTCACATTATGTCCCTGCTGCAACGTTCCCTGCTTGACGGCCCTGATATGACTGATTACTTCTTTCGGAATCAGATGCAATGCAATGCCAGTGGGCTTACCAGGGAGTTCTGCATGGAGATTTTCCGGATGCGAATGAGACCCAGAGCGTCCTTGTAGTCCGAAATCAATGTCCCACTGGCCAGTTCTGCATCGTCCTCTGCCCTCTTCAGCACAGCTCAGCACACCACCACTCAAATCCTTCGAAAATGCACGTACCAGGGAGTTCTGCACGGAGACCTTGCGGATGCGAATGAGACCCAAGGCGTCCTTGCTAGCTCTGCATTGTCCTCTATAGTACAGCACAGTACAGCATCACCCCAATCCATTCACAATGCTTACCAGGGAGTTCTGCATGGAGACTTTGCGAATGCGAATGAGACCCAAGGCGTCCTTGTAGTCCGAGATGCCACTGGCTAGCTCCGCATTGTCCTCTGCAGCACAGCACCGGCCAATCACACGCAGATTTAGTAAAAATTGTGAAGAGTGCAGTTCTGGAAACAAGCGCACGAGAATGTGCATGCACACATGCACACAGAGTGGAATGTAGACCACGTGATCAGCTCCCCCATACATTCCAGTGCTTCCATTGCAGCACCACGTCTGCTGCATGCAGCAGTCTCAGCAGCACGTGTGGAGGAAGAAGCACACATTATTGCTCTACAGCCCACGCTAGCATGCACCACGCATGTTACACTTGAATGCACACGACATATTCTGCTGCACCCCATTCACCAGGCCCCCCCATACCTTCCAGTGCTTCCATTGCCAGCACCACATCCGCTGCATGCTGCTGTCTCAGCAGCACGTGTGAGCGAATCAGGCACTGGGAATACACACTTCATGCATTCATGTTCCCACCCCATTCACTACCTCGCCCCCACCTTCCAGTGCTTCCATTGCCAGCACCACGTCCGCTGCATGCTGCAGCCTCAGTCTCAGCAGCACATTCGAGAGCAGCACACACTACAAATGTACATACACCTGCAAGCATGCTCACCATGTGCTGCACCCAAGGTGACTTTTGAGTCGACTCAAAAGTGGCCTCTAAGTGGGGCTCGATTGGAATGTACATACACCTGCAAGCATGCTCACCATGTGCTGCACCCCATTCACCATCTGCCACCTACCTTCCAGAGCTTCCATCGCCAACACCAAGTCCGCTGCATGCTGCAGTCTCAGCAACACGTGTGGGGGTATAACTCCTTCATCTCTAGGAATTGTTACAAGGACTGTAACGGGCAAAGTGCGAACACAGCCTTTCAACCACTGCAGCCATGCAAGTACCTGCCAGGTCTGCAGGGTTGGAAAGGGAGGAATTGGAGAACCACCGTTAGAGCTATATAAATCAATCCAATTCAATCAAACGAGGAACTTTCTGCGACCAACCCCGCCCCTATTTCTTTGCTGGGCTCACCTCCGCATCATCTCCTGACAGCCGCAATGAGGGAGGAGCTCCCAGAGAATGCATTCTTGAAAAGTCAAAGAAGGTGTCTGAACTCACTTGGGGCATATGATCCAGACCCACCAGCGCATCATCTCCTGACAACAGCAATGATGGAGGAGCTCCCAGAGAATGAACACCAATGCGACCCACCCTTCCTCCCGCCTCTCCGCTCCCCCCACCTCCTCCTCCTCCCACACCCCTTAAGCCAGCTCCTGTAGACCCACCAGGTGCAGAGGAAGCAGCATCTGCTGGAACGTTGGAATCAAGGGACGACAGGAACCCTGACACACGGCCAAACACGTCTTGGGTGAAACCTGACGTTGCTCCAGAGTCCCCATTCTGCGGCAGCTCTTGCTGTGTGCAGCTGCCCCCTGTCCCTGCCGTTAGAGCATCAACCCAGAGAGGCACACACGTGCACAGCTGCTGCGCATGCCTTAGCGGCGGCCGGGACAGTGGTGTGCGGAGGTCAAACTCGGTGCAGTACGGTACAGACGCACCTGCTGCCCCTCCTGATCCCACTCCAGTGAACTGGGGAGCCAAGTGCTTATACTGCCATGCTATTCTCAACCCATCACCCCCTCCTCCCCCATCCCCCACACTTTCTCCCCTTCCGACACCCCCTGCTCTTCTCTCCTCCTGCGACCAACCCAGGCCTTGAGGCTCGGAAAGCCCTCCCGGACCTGCCCGGCCAACCGGACCTGCGAGCGCTCCCGAACCTGCCTTTCTCTCGGCTGGCGCCGGAAGCGTGGCGAGAAAGGCTTGGGGATCGGGGAGGGGTGAGAGGAGGAGGAGTGGGTGGGAGTGGGAGAGGCCTTGGGAGAGGAAGTAGCGGAGGAGAATGAGGTGGAGGGGTGAGAGCGGGTCTTCTAGTAATAGGACGATACCGCCCACTGGGTATCCCCCGCCTAGGGCTTGTGGTTAAATGGATAGAGACGCACGGGTGAAGGGGAAGAGGAGGTAGAGGCGGGCGAACATGAAGGGACGGAGAAGGGGTGATGGAGAGAAGGAGAAGCAAAGGAAGGAGAAGCGGAGGAAGGAGAAGCGGGGCAGTTTGGAGGAAGAGGGGAGCATGGACCGGTTAAGGAAGGCACAGCAGGTTGGTTTGACAATGGTGCTTGGGAAGAGAGAAGAACTGCATGGGAGGAGAGGAGAGGTGCATAGGGAGAGAGAAAACGTGCAAAAGGCGGAAAAGGTAACAATCCAGCTTGACAATTCCAGGGTCACTCTGGAGAACTCCCAGAAAGGTTGACGGGTAGAGGGGGGGTGAGGGGGATATGATCGAGGCCAGCGAGGCCTGACGAGAGATCTTTTAGAAGTCTAAAAAACCACTCGCACGGACTCGGACGGGAAGACTGAAAGGTCGCAAGGCTGAGAAAAAAAAGGGCCAGTAGGGAGGGCGAGGCGGATATGATCGAGGCCAGCGAGGCCTGACGAGGTGACCAGCCGAGCTCCAGCCGCGAATTTCGTCCCGGGAAGCGCAAGCGTCGCTGCTCTGCTTCCTGCCGTGCCTTCTGTAACGCCTGCTGTGGATTCCGTGATACCTCTGCTCCCTGTGGTTTCTGTGGCAGATCCTGCACGAAACGCGCTACCCGCTCTTCCGGCCGCCGCTATCCCCGTCGTCGCGGGGCGTCCTCGGCGAATGAAGCTACTCGCGGCGGCCATGGCGAATCGTGGATGAGTAGATTGTAAGATGCTAACGGATTCAGCGCCGCGACTCGCCTAGTATTGCTAGGGAATGATCGCCCTCAGCTGAAAATGTATGCGGCTGTGCGCGAATTGAAGACCCAATCCGGTAACTATATGCAGTGGAACAACAGTTACATGGAAATTATTATTTTCAATGGTGACAAGTGTGCAGCCTGAACTGCCCATACCATACTCAAGCTTGATAAAGTTCCTACAAGCCAAAGAGTCTCTAATACGGTAATGAACCAATGGTCAGGATAAGTAGAACCTCAAACAGAGCTGAAACATGCATGTTAGGCGAGGGAAAAAGAGGAATAATTTTTATGCTTGGTTCCGTAATACTAAATAATTTGCTACCCTATACATCCACTAACGAATGACCTGCTACACCTCAAATAATGAATAAGTGGGGCTCGCACTTGCACCATCAAACCTACGCATTATGCATTGACAGCATGAACTGTGATGCACATATCGGGAGAGAACAAACGAGCCACTTGCTGTACGTCCCTCAGAGTGACCTCCTCAATGCTCTGCACCTCATTTGTCACCCAGAGACTATGCATTGACAGCATGTGCTGTGATCCGCATATAAGGAGAGAACAACAAACCAGCCACCTGCTGCACGTCCCTGGGAGTAACCTCCTCAATGCTCTGTTCTGTACCTCCTTTGTCACCCAGAGACTATGCATTGACGGCATGCGCTGTGATGCGCATATCAGGGGAGAATAACAGCCGTGCCACCTGCTGCACGTCCCTGGGAGTGACCTCCTCGATGCTCTGCACCTCCTCGCCTCCACCAGCACTTCCAACTGCCCCTAGAACATCTTGCTCGGTGCTCCCTTGCGCTCTAAGCATTGACAGCATGTGCTGTGATGCGCATATCAGGGGAGAACAGCAGCCGTGCCACCTGCTGCACGTCCCTGGGAGTGACCTCCTCAATGCTCTGCACCTCCTCCACTAGTGCCTCCCATCTGCCCGCCCGGGTAGAGTATTCACACAGCACTCGCGCCAGACCGGAATTGCTGCCTAGGAGCTCCTGTTAAGACAGGCAAAAACAATGGGCGAGGGGCACAGAGAGAGGGGGGAGAAGAAAGAAGAAAGCGGGGAGAAGGAAGCAGGGAGACAGGCGTGAGTCGGTAGAGGGAAATGATACCAAAGAGTGACGTCCCTTCTTACACACGTCCCTGGGGGTGACCTCCTCAATGCTCTGCACCTCCTCCACTAGTGTCTTCCATCTGCCCGCCCTGGTTGAATACTCAGCACCCTCGCCAAGCCTGAATTGCTGCCCAAGAGCTCCTGTTAAGAGAGGGAGAAGAGAAGAGCGAGGGGCACAGAGAGAGGGGGGGGAGGGGGGGAGGACGAAGGGAGGGAGACAGGCTTGAGTCGAAACGGGGCCTTTTGAGTCGATTCAGAAGTGATAGCGTGTCGGATGTGGGAGTGACCTCCTCAATGCTCTGCACCTCCTCCACCAGAGCCTCCCATCTGCCCGCCTGCATGGAGTATTCACAGCACACCCGCGCCAAGCCTGCATTGCTGCCTAGGAGCTCCTGTTTAAGACAGGGAGAAGAGGAGAGTGCAGGACACAGATAGAGATGGGAAAAGTAAGAAGGAAGACAGGCTTGAGTTGGTAGGGGCAAGTGATAGTGCCAGGACAGAGACGACGGGCCAAGCCTGAATCGCTTCCCAGAAGCTCCTGTGTGGAGAGGGAAGGAAGACGGGACACTCGACGGGTGGATGGTCGGGGGACACTCGACGGGTGAATTGTCGGGGGACACTCGAGCGAGCTCTGCTGGATACCCAGTGAGAAATATTTCTTTATTTTAATTAAATCTTCTTTTTCTTTTGTTGTCTCAAACTGGCGAGGAAAAAGCAGACTCACAAGGAAGCCGAGTCGGAGAGACTTGCGGACCCGAGCGAGGTCGCTTTCAGGCACGCGCGTGTCCGCCATGTGCTTTTCAGTCCACCCACAAGCGTTCTGAGCCAACGCATACGACAGAGCAACGCGGCGAACTTACAAGAAAGCCGACCCGCAGGGACTTGCGGACCCGAGCCAGGTCGCTTTCAGGCACGCGCGTGTCCGCCATGTGCTGCAGCTGCTCCTGCAGTGCTGCTGCCACTGCATCAGTTGTGCCGCCTGTGGGAAATCGCAGGGGGTTGGGATTGAGAAGGGGAACAAGAGTCAGTCTCAGGCACGCGTGTGTCGGCCATGTGCTGCAGCTGCTCCTGTAGCGCTGCTGCTGCTCCTGTAGCGCTGCTGCGACCGCATCGGTGGTGCCACCTGTGGGGCAACGAATGGCACACACACAGAACATCGCAGGCAGTTTGAGACGTGAGGCTAGGCGTAAGGGCACGCGCGTGTCTGTCATGTGCTGTGGCTGCTCCTGTAACGCTGCTGCGGCCGCATCGGTGGTGCCGCCTGTGGGATAATTGGGAGAGTGGGGAGAAGGACGAGAGCAATGTAAGTGCTGTTTTGAGACGTCTCAAAACAACACTTTTAACAATTGGGAGAGTGGGGAGGATGAGAGCAAAGTAAGTGTGAGGTCACTCTCAGGCGCGCGTGTGTCGGCCATGTGCTATAGAGTGGGGTAATGACATGCAGTGGAGAGTGGGGCACATGGAAGCACGGTACATACACAGGTGCATGGCATGACATTAACATCGTACGATATTAAATGCACAGAGGGGCGCAGCATGGGATGGGTAGTGCATGTGCGACGAAGGGCGTGGTATGGTATCATGTATCATGCGTCGAGACCAGAGGGGTTGAGTTTTGAGGCTCCTCGAAACTCAACTCAATGCACGCGGATGTGTAGTGCATGTGCGAAGAAGGGCGTGGTATGGTATCAGGTGTCCAGACCAGAGGGGTTTCGATTCGAGGTGACTTTTGAGTCGACTCAAAAGAAGGGCGTGGTATGGTATCATGTGTCCAGAGGGGTTTCGCATGGTGTCATGTGGGTAAAGGGGCAGGGGCATGGTATCATGTGAGCAGAGAGGCATGGGGTGTTACCGAGAGGAGGGAAGGCGGAGAGCAGGAAGAGACTGGGGCGCTTATCTCCGGGGTAGGTCTCTGTGGCACTGGCTGAGAGGGCCTTGCCTGGCAGCACTAGGTTCTGACAGGTTGGGGGGAGGAGGGAGGAGGGGCGAGAGGAGAGGAGAGGGAGGTGAGAAAGGGAAGAGAGGAGAGAGGAGGGGTGAGGGGGGATAGCTGAGACGGGAGTGAGGAGAGATGACAAAGACAGAGTTGTTGGCACAAGGAAAAGATTGTTCAGACAAACGAAACAACAAATGAACGAGAAAAAAAAGCCAACAAAAAAACAAAAAAACTAGGAAGCGAGAGAGAGAGTGATATTAACGGAAGGACGGATCTCACTTTGTAGAGGCGGGAGGAGCGAGAGCCATAGAGCAGAGAGCTGATTACAGAGATGACCGGATCGTCCACCGAGGATGAGGAGGGGCGGAAGTAGCCTGCATGCATATGCACACCATGCACATGCAGATATGTAAATAGTGTGCATTATAAGAGGTCAGTCACTAGAAAAGAAACAACATATGCGTCTATTGTGTGCCCCACATGCCATGCCAGGGGGATAGAGGCAAGTGGAAGAGGAGAGGGAAAAGGGGAGGAGGAGAGGTGATTGGGAATCTGCTCGACAACCACAGGGTGTTTTACCCTCGAAATACAGCGGGTTGGCACCCACGCTCATTCTCATCTCCCTCTCCTCCCCCACAGCAGCAGCAGCCATTCTCGCCGCCTCCCACCCCTCTTCTCTGCTCCCTGATCGCCAGGCACGAGAGGCGGAAGAGGAGGAGGAGGAGATGGGGTTGAGAGAGGGAGTGGTGGAGGAGAGAGGAGGGGAGGAGGAGAGAGGGAGTGGGAAAGCCGAGGCGAGGAGGAGAGGAGAGGAGGAGGAGGCGAGGGAGAAGGGGAGGGCTAGGATGGGTTCTGAGGGAGAGGTGATGGGCTGCCAGGGTGCAAAGTACTTGGTTGCTAGCCGCTCCACCTCTGCTGCTGACACATCCCCCACCTGCCATGCATCCAGGCAAGCAGACAAACAACCAGCCAGATGCAAGAAGGGAGAAAGGGAGGGAGCTGGGTGGGATGGGTTGTGAGGTGATGGGCTGCCAGGGAGCCAAGTACTTAGTACTTGGTTGCTAGCCTAGCCGCTCCACCTCTGCTACTGACACGTCCCCCACCTGCCATGCATCCAGGCAATCAAACAATCAGTCAGGAGGCGAGGGAGAAAGGGAGGGCTGGGATGGGTTGCGAGGGAGGGGTGATGCTGCCAAGTTGAAGTACTTGGTGGCTAGCCTAGCCGCTCCACCTCTGCTACTGACACGTCCCCCACCTGCCATGCATCCAGGCAATCAAACAATCAGTCAGGAGGCGAGGGAGAAAGGGAGGGCTGGGATGGGTTGCGAGGGAGGGGTGATGCTGCCAAGTTGAAGTACTTTGTGGCTAGCCTAGCCGCTCCACCTCTGCTGCTGACACATCCCCCACCTGCCAAGCAACCAGGCAAGCAACCACCCGAAAGGGAAAAGATTTGACTACCACACATGCAGCAAGTGGGTTCTAGGTTATGCCATGTCATCGTGCCATGCCATCAGGCCATGTCATGCATGCAGTTACATACCATGAAGACACACAATTACGCAGAGGCATGGCACTGCATGCTCTGTAACCACGGCTCTCATGTACCGCGGTAACCCGGTTACACTGGATGATTTAGTCGACTAAAAAATCGGTCTATTACACAAACCACGGCTCGCATGTGCCGTAGTTACACAGAGGATTTCATACCACCGCGCATGTGAGCTTGTCAGGCGTGTAGTGCTGCTACCGGTAACTGAGTGTGCTATGGCATGTGAGTTGGCATGCACGCACGCATGTGCCATTTCATACCACCGCGCATGTGAGCTTGTCAGGCGTGTAGTGCTGCTGAAAGAACGCCTCCACCTCCTTCCTTCCTAAGCGATCGAAATCAGACGCTGGCAGCGACGGGGAGAAAGAGGGAGAGAAGAGAGGGGGAGCAGGCACAGGGCAGGCAGGCAGGCAGGTCAACAATAAGTCTTTATCATCGACACTACACAACACTACACAACACTACACAACACTACACAACACCACACAACACTACAGGATACACCACACTGAGGTACAACGCCACATGGGTACAGCTGCGGAGCAATGTCGTGTGCCATAGTAACGAGGTGACTTTTGAGTCGACTCAAAAGTCACTTTATCATCAACACTACACAACACTACAGGACGCGGCACTGAGGTAGAACGCCACATGGGTACAGCTGCAGAGCGGAAATATCTACCCATGTACATGCATACATCTAATAATGAGTACACTTTTGTAGACACAATAAGGCACGTACGGTATCCAATGGTGGGTCGTCCGTAGGGGCTGTGGGGAAACGCCCGCTGAGCAAAGGCTTCTGTGAAGCGGCCGTAGGGCGTGTTGTCAATGCGCAGTCGCCTCTCCTCCCTCACCACCTGGCGTGGTGGGGTTTGGTGTGTGTGATTAGGTGGAGGTGCAATGTGGTTGAGTGCGGTGCAGCAAAGCTGACTTGCGTTTATTGGCTCTACTGCGGGGAAACGCCTTCTGAGCAAAGGCCTCTGTGAAGCGGCCGTAGGGGGTGTTGTCAATGCGCACGCGCCTCTCCTCCCTCACTACCCGATGCGGTGGGCGCAGTGCGGTGCAGCGCGGTTGACATGGGTGCATTCTTACTGCGAGGTAAGGGCCACATGGGTGCATTCTTACTGCGAGGTAAGGGCCACATGGGTGCATTCTTACTGCGAGGTAAGGGCCACATGGGTGCATTCTTACTGCGAGGTAAGGGCCACATGGGTGCATTCTTACTGCGAGGTAAGGGCCACATGGGTGCATTCTTACTGCGAGGTAAGGGCCACATGGGTGCATTCTTACTGCGAGGTAAGGGCCACATGGGTGCATTCTTACTGCGAGGTAAGGGCCACATGGGTGCATTCTTACTGCGAGGTAAGGGCCACATGGGTGCATTCTTACTGCGAGGTAAGGGCCACATGGGTGCATTCTTACTGCGAGGTAAGGGCCACATGGGTGCATTCTTACTGCGAGGTAAGGGCCACATGGGTGCATTCTTACTGCGAGGTAAGGGCCACATGGGTGCATTCTTACTGCGAGGTAAGGGCCACATGGGTGCATTCTTACTGCGAGGTAAGGGCCACATGGGTGCATTCTTACTGCGAGGTAAGGGCCACATGGGTGCATTCCTGCCTCATCCCATTTCTCCACACCCACACTCCTCCCACCTACTGCATTCTCACCTCCTTCTCACTGTACAGCTCTCGGAACACAGGCGCCAGGAACCGGCCGCTCTCAAGGGCCATCCAGAGCTCGAGCTTGTTGGCTGGCAGGGAGACAAAGTACTCTGTGGGGAAGGGGTGAGGGAAGGAGGGGGGGGAACAGAGAGACAAGTTGAAAGCTGAAAGTTGTGGGGAAAGCACAGTCTATGAAAGGAACCGGCCGCTCTCAAGCGCCATCCAGAGCCCAAGCTTGTTGGTGGGCAGGGAGACGAAGTACTCTGGTGGGAGGGGACGAAGGAAGGCATGGGGAGAAGGGTGAGATGGGTTATATCCGAGCGTGGGAAGAGGAGGAGGGGACGCGCGGGGACCGCAGTGTTGAAGCAAGGAGGCAGCCGCTCTCAAGTGACAAGCGCCATCCAAAACTCAAGCTTGTTCTCAGGCCATTCTCCCTCTCCTCGCTTTCTCACGTGCGGAATCCTGGCTGGTGCTCGCGTTGAGCCCCATGCCCCCTTTTCAACCTCAAGGGTGCCTCTATAACCATCCTACTTTCCTAACCCTTCCCCTTCCCCCCCCACCCATCCACGCACGTGTGGCATCTTAGCTGGTGGTTCCATTGAGCCCCACGCCCCCTTCCCGACTTCATAGGTGCCCCTCACACACCCTTACAACCCTGCCACCCTCCCTTTCCTTTCCCCTATCTGTTCCCACTTTCTCCCCTCGCACGCACGTGTGGAGTCCTGGCTGGTCGTCGCGTTAAGCCCCACGCCCCCTTCCCGCGACACCAGGGCGCCAAACGCGTTTGGCACAGACAGCTCCGCGGCCTGCTGCTGCAGGCGAGCCTGGAAGCCAGCAGAGGAAGGGCAGCGTGGGACAGAGAGTGGGGCAGAGTGGGGCAGAGTGGGGCAGAGTGGGGCAGAGTGGGGCAGAGTGGGGCAGAGTGGGGCAGAGTGGGGCAGAGTGGGGCAGAGTGGGGCAGAGTGGGGCAGAGTGGGGCAGAGTGGGGCAGAGTGGGGCAGAGTGGGGCAGAGTGGGGCAGAGTGGGGCAGAGTGGGGCAGAGTGGGGCAGAGTGGGGCAGAGTGGGGCAGAGTGGGGCAGAGTGGGGCAGAGTGGGGCAGAGTGGGGCAGAGTGGGGCAGAGTGGGGGGCAGAGTGGGGCAGAGTCGGGCAGAGTGGAGGAGAGTGGAGGAGAGTGGAGGAGAGTGGAGGAGAGTGGAGGAGAGTGGAGGAGAGTATTATTATCAATTCTGAGACTATCCTTCAGCATGTGGACTCAAGCTTTCCTCCTCTAGCCTCTTGACCATGTCCTCTGCTGCTCCCTTTTCGAGTGAACTCACAAGACAAGAAAGACAAAGACTCGAGAAAGAAAGAAGTTGGAACTGAGAGGGGGAGGGACGTTGGAAGAACCAACCAGCTCACAGATTCCTCTTCCAACCAGCCGCTTGACTGTGCTGTGCCCTCTGCTATGCTTGTGCTGTATCACATTCTAGAAATCCTAAAAGCGACTCAAAGGCTCGCACACCGAAAAATCCATTTAAAGAAAGAGATGGAACTGAAAGAGGGACGGGAGGGGAGTTGGAAGCACCGCACTCACAAATTCGTCCTCCAGGCGCTTGACCGTGCCCTCTGCTGCCCCTCCCTCTCTCGCCTCCTTCAGCCCGTAGAACGCTGCCGGGGATGGTGGGAAGCGGGGAACAGGATGGAGGGCGAGAGGGGGAAGGGGATGGGAGGGAGCTCACGGGGTGGTGGCAAGTCGGTAGGTGGTTTTGAGACGGACAGAGGCAGTGCTTCCTGCGACACGTTTCAGCACAATATTACGTCTGGCTCGTTCTACCAATTCTTTACTTTCAGAATGGTTGTTTGATATTGAAAAGCTCTACCAATTTGAATTCATTTTAGAGCTCTCTCTACACTCACCCTCGTCTACAAGCTCCAGTAGCCGAGCCTCCTTTTGAGCATCTCTCGTTCCTATAACGGGGGTGCCTTTAAACGCCAGATGTTCCAATAGATGCGCCACGCCCGTGCACCCATCCGCCTCGTCTGCCGCCCCCACGTCCGCGTACGTGTGGCACGAGACAATCGGCGCCGCCCGCCGCTCCACTACAATCCAACGCATGCCGTTCGCAAGCGTGAACGTGCACACCCGCTCCGATAAGCTATCGAGCGCGGATCCCACACTCGTCCCCGCTCCCCCGCGCCCCTTCCCCTCCACTCCCCCGCTCTCTTCCCCCTCCACAAACCCGTTTCCTCCCCTCCAACTCCTCGCTCCTGGTATCACAAGCCCTGCTGCTGCTGCGCGTTCAGCAATCCCCCCTGCAGCAGCAGCCGCAGCGGCAGTTGCGAGAACCTGACGCCTCGTAACTGCCATTCCCTTACGAAACTTCCCCTGCTGTTCGGACCGCCTCTCGCGCTCCTCCGACCGATTCTCACGCTCCAACCGTCGCTCATTTCCCTCTCTGTTCGATTCTCCGCCGTTCTTTAAGCTTGCGCTCCTATTTTCTACTCTCATTCCGCCGTTTCTCTCCGCTAACCGCACCTTCTCCCCCCTAACCTCTATATCTCCGCGCGCTATCTCCCCCACATGCTCTTCCGGCTGTTGGCGGGAAGCAGCGCGCGCGACAAAGGTGGGCGGGCTAAGAGCGGATCGGCGCAATGGCGCGCGGGAAACGATGCGGAGGGAAGCGACGCGGCTGGATAACGGGACTATGGCGAACGCAGAAGACGCGGAGAAACTAGAGTTGTCCGCCGCGCCAGTTCCGCTGTAACGGAGACGCGGCGACGCCGCGTGAAACGCATACGCGGCAAGCTCCGCGGAAGCCGCCATGGCTTCTCCGGAGGAGGCACGCGGACGAGAGGAGCTAGACAGGTGACGGCAGTGAAGTGGAGAAGGACGTAGCAGTTCTGGTGACCATAATCACTGGCGGGACCAATGCAGCTTCAAATCCTTTAGCGACTAGCACCGAGCAGTACCGCTCAGAACTCAGACAAATGACCGACACAAAACAAGACCTCAAATTTTTGCTCGTACTTTCACTGTCGTACTTTCGTACTTTTCCATTGAAGCATCAGGTCGTCCCATCTGGGTCATTTCGCCTAGCAATTTACAGAATGCACCGCTCTCGTACTGGCAATTAGCAACCGAAATGAAACCGAGACTGAACGCGTTCTGAAATCGCGGAAACAGCGATGCGACTTTGCAGTTTGTGTAACATGATGCATAATGGCTTTCATTAGAAAGTAATACTGAAGCTAGTGAAGACTTATCAAAACGCGCCTACATGTTTTGAATGAGAAAATTAGACATTTCGGGGTCTGACAGAGACCCTCCGAAGCTCGAAAATGGTGAGCATTGGGCAATAACCACAATCAAGCAGATGTGATGTTAGTGACTAAGAATGAGGGGAGTGACTACTATCAATGATGATGATGAGGGGAGACGATGATGCAATCGCTTGCACTCTTTGGCGCTCTCCCGCCATCTCCTCGCATCGCACCCATTCCTCCTATCCCTCGAATCTCGCTCCATCAAATCACCAACCGACTACTGTACCTCTGCCACCCACAAATTTATCCACTCTCCAAACCTCCCTCCAAAACCCTCGTTATTGATTCTCTCATGCATTAAGACCAAAACATAGAAGCATCCCTGTCACTTGCATCGCAAGTCAAGCCCTCACAGCCACCTCCTGTCCTCTTCCACCTCCTCCTGTGTGCAATCCCAAAACCTTAAGCCCCTGACCGCCTGGCCGAGGTCAGCAGCTGCACTATCGCTGGGGAGGAATGGGCAGCTGGGGACGGGCCTCTAGCATCTCATACTGTAGCACGAAGTTGTCCTGAGAGTGTTGCGGGGTGGTGGGGCGGGAGGGGGGGAGGAGGAGAGCAGAAGAGAGCGGGGAAGGTTGGCATGTCAGTGTGTTATGAGAAGAGCCAAGGGCCTCTAGCATCTCATACTGAAGCACAAAGTTGTCCTGAGGATGTTGAAGTGGGGGGGGAGGGGAGGGAGAGGGCGGAGAAAGAGAGGAGAAGAGGGTAGGGAAGAAGAGTGTTATGAAAAGAGCCAAGGGCTGGGGACGGGCCTCTAGCATCTCGCACTGTAGCACCACCACGTTATCCTGAGGTGTGTGGGAAGGTGGGTAGGGGAAAGCAGGGAAGAGTGAGTAAGGGTGAACCCTCAATGTGCTGCAGACAGAAATCGATAGATGGAAATGGGGCTACGGTATCTTGTGCTGCAGCACACAGTGGTCCTGCCCCCCTTTTCCCACTTTCTTGCCTGTCTTTTAGGTTGACTCAAAAGTCACCTCAATAGCTGGAAATAGGCCAGGAGCATCTCGTGCTGTAGCACACAGTGGTCCTGCCCCCCTTTCTCACTTTCTTGCCTGTCTTGTGAGATCCACACCACTCACCTTCCTGCCTCCCACACGGTGGGATCAAAGAAGTGGTTGGAACCGCGCTCGTACGTGGGGGTCTTCACCACCAACTGAGTGCATTCCTCCCTGTCCTTTGCCCCTGCCTTCCCCCACCTCAAAGCCCGCTCTCACCTCCCTCCTCTCCCCAAAACACGCACCTTGCGCCCGGTCTCCCAGACGGTGGGGTCAAAGAAGTAGTAGGAGCCGCGCTCGTACGTGGGGGTCTTCACCACGGGCTCACTGTTGGGCACGCGTGTGAACCACACCTGGTGCTCCTTGTGGTAGAACCACCCGCGGTTGCACCTGCCGGGAGGATGTACGGAGGGGTGAGATGGGTGAGATAACGCAGGGAAGGCAAGGGTGCTATGTACTGAACTTCTTGCTGTAGGCATGGTTTTTGTTTTTTATTATTATTATTTTAGGTAAACTACATTGTTTGACGCGTGAAGTGCTCCGGCTGCATGCATGTACAGGAGAGTGCATGGGTGCATAGCAGGCAGTATAATATGCCTGTCTATGCGCAAATTGTATGTGCAAGATCTGCCATGCAAGGGGTGTCAAAATATGAGATGCGGGATGAGAGATGCAAAATGTGGGATGTGAGATGGGCGATGCAATGCAGAGCACTGCACTCACAGTTCATCAGCAGAGAACAGCTGCGCCTCGTCATGCGGCATGCTGTTGCGCAGGCAGAGCAGGGAGGCATCACACACAGGAAACACAAACGCAAAAGTATGGGGGGGGAAGGGGGCGAACGACAGCATTACAGAGGAAAACGGGTGGTAAGGAGGAGGCAGGAGGCAAGGAGGAAGGGGTGGGAGGTGGGAGGACGGCGGGTCGGAGTATGAGCCATCGGCTGGGAAACAGCAGCCGTAGTGGAGGAGAGAGCGATTGGAACAAAAGCCGGTGTTGGTGGGTGGGACGAGCGTTTGTAAGGCAACATACACCCACCCACCCATCCTCCATGGCTAACTATCATGCACTGTAACAACGGAGCTTTTTACCAGAGCCAAAAAACCACAAAGCTCAAAGCTCAAAATTTTAAGCTCATCAAAACCCAAAGCTCAAAGACTTGGCCCTTAAGCTCAAAACGTCAACCCTTATAAAAAATAATAAACCTTTAGAGCTCACCTGTAGAATATATAGAAGAGCGTGTCCTGCTGGAACTTCGAGAAATAGCCCGGCTGCAGTCGAGCGACGAGCGAGAGAGTAGGAGAGGGCGTGGGAAAACACAGGGCGAAAGGGGACGGTGCAAGACGGTGGGAGAGGAGGGGAATAGGAGAGGAATGAGGATGCACGGCTTGATGCTACCAAAAGAACACGGATTTAAGAAGTAGCAGCACTGACGGACCTGCAGACGAGGCATGTGTTGGATGCTGCAAGCCAGCAGGCTACTTTTGAAACGTCTCAAAATCCGCGTGTAAGTAGACGACTTTTGAGACGTCTCAAAAGACCGGCAGACGGGGCACGTGTTGGATGCAGCAAGCCAGCAGGCTAAACCCTAGCTAAGCTCTAATCAGGTCCCGTCCATCTAGAACTCTTTTCCACTATTTATGAGGCGCCTACACAGGCAGAGCCGGCACTGACTGACCTGAAGACGAGGCGTGGGTTGAATGTAGCAAGCCGGGAGGCTGAACTCCGGCTCAGCTCTCCTTGGCCCATCCGCCCACGGCGATGCAAACGTGCGGTACAGATTCTCCCGCGAGTTCAGATTCAGCCCGAGAGTCGTCAGATCGGTCCCCAGCGCCAGCGTGGTCAAATCTGGATCGTTCATCCGAATCACACTAAGCAGCCCCAGCAGCCCGTACTTATCCGGCCCGTCTACACCCTGCTCCTTTCCTGCTCCCACCTGCCCGCTTCCTGGTTGAGCCTGCTGCTGGGGGCCCGTGAGACCAGGTGTATTGGATCGAGAACCAGGTGCCGAGCCTAGCTGCTCTCCAGCCTTACCCCCTCCCTGCCCTAACAGAACGTTTCCAGAGCCGTCCGCGTGCCGCAAACTAGATCCCTCTGCCCCCCGTGCCTGCTCGTCCTGCTGCTCCTGCTGCTGTTGCTGCTGCTGCTGCTGCTGCTGCTGCTCTTGTTGCTGTTGCTGTTGCTGTTGCTGCTGCTGCTCTTGCTGTTTCTGCTGTTGCTGCTGCTGCTGGAGAGAAGGGCTAGGGCTGGCAGATCGTTGCAGGATAAGCATGGAGCTACTGGGAACCCCCGGTGCATTCAGGGGCGGAGGGGACGAGAGCATGCGCTGATCTAGGTGCTTCAAATGCCCCCCCTGCTGCTGCTGCCCCTGCTGGTGGTGGTGCTGGTGGTACTGGTGGAGGTGGGGGTTGTCATGCAAGCTGAGGTGCTGCAGCTGCTGCTGCTGCTGCTGAAGCATGTCCAAGTGGCTTCTGATCGACCCTCCTGCGCCCTGCTGCTGCTGCTGTTGCTGTGCGGAACTGTCCTTGTCCCCTCCGTTGTCCGCGCCCGCTGCAGGATCAAGCAGCAGGCAGACGAAAGCAAGCAGGAAAGAGAGAAAGAGTCCATCAAAGGCCTCCTGGAAGCTTAAGCTCAGGCTTGCATTTACAACACCTGCACCGTACAGCAGCAGCAGCAGCAGACTCATACGCAAATATGCAAACACCATGAAAGAAGGACACGCATGCAGACCTAGGCAAGCACAAACCCACCAGTGCGGCTGGGCAAGGCACACACACCTTTGAGGCCGGGCAGGGCAGGGAAATCCTCGTTCTGTATGCTGAATTCCGGCCCTCCCTGGTGTAGCAGCGCGTTCAATGGAGCCCCTTTCCTTAGCACCGCCGCTGCTGCCGACCCTGCACCTGAAGGGATCGCGAGCAGCACAGATGAGGGGGGGTTGACGGAGCAGGGTTGAGAGGGCTGAGGAGTGCGGGTGGAATGGTTGAAGGTTGTGCATGACAGGGTTGAGGAGTAGCCCTGAGTCGGCTGAGGGGTAGAAACAAACATCAGTTGAAGAGAACAAAGAAAACGCTAAAGGTGGCGAATGGAGCATATAAAGCAGGTGCATCACACGAAGCATGTCTGTTCAAGTGCCTACCTGACGCCATGGCTGCACTCCCAGGCGGCCTCGTGTTGAGCGTGGGGAACTCGCTCATGTCAAACGCTGCCCCATCGCCCTCTCGCTGCTCGCCTCTCCCGCCCAATTGCTCCTGATCCTGCCCTCCCTGCCTCGACTCGTCCCCCTGCTCGCCCTCCCCTTTCGACCCGTCCCGTTTGCCCTCTCCTTGTCCCTGCCCCTGCTTCTGTAGCAACAATGACCCTCCCTGCATCTGCCCCTGCCCCTGCTGCCCCTGCTGCTGCATGTGCTGCTGCTGCTGGTCGAGGAGCAACGACGATGGGCCTAGCTGCCCGTTGACTGCACCCATCTGCTTCGGCTGCTGCAACAGCTGCTGCTGCTGCTGCTGGGATTGCAGGTAACTGTTGCTGGAAAGCATGCCCGCAGGCGTACCAGCTGCATATCAGAGAGGCGAAGAAAAGAAGGCGGATTGTTGACACCAGGCAGCGGCAATCAATGCAACGCAGACTAAAAAAATCAAGGATCGACATAGCTCAGACGAAGCACTCTCGCACTCACCGCGGTTGATCATTCATAGCCATTACTTACGTCCCAGCCCGGAGACTTGAAGTCAACAAAGCAATAAATAACTGTAGCCCAAACCAAGCGGCCTCGCACTCACCGCGGTTGATCATAGCCATTACGTCTCCTGAAGGCTGGTACGTCCCAGCTTGCAACCCCTGCTGGCCCCCCTGCCCTTGCTGCTGCTGCTGTTGCTGTCCAACCCCCACCTGCTGCTGATGATGATGGTGTTGCCCCTGCGATTGCAACCCTAACGCCAACATCTGCTGCTGCTGCGCCTGCTGCTGCTGCTGCTGTCCCTGCCCCTGCCCAGAGATCATTCCTGTTCCCAACGGCCGCCCAGGCCCCTGCACGCCCACCGCACCTACACTTCCCCCCAACCCTACTGATCCCAGCGCGCGCGCTCCCCCTACCGTCGACATGCCCAGCGCGCCCGCGGGGTTCATCGCCCGAGTCAACCCTGCGCTCGCCCCTGCGCCTGCCCCCGCGGAAAGCCCCATCCCTCCGCCCGCCCCTGCCATGCTCAGAGCCCCGGGCGCGCCTAGTCTCCCTGCGGACCCCGCAATCTGAGATGGGTTCACCCCTAGACCCGCGGAGCCAATTGTTCGCTGTCCAGGCACGTTACTCATTCCGCTCATCCCGCTCATTCCGGTCATCCCGCTCATTCCACTCATCCCGCTCATTCCCCCGCCCGCTGTTGCTACTCCGGGCGCGCCTGCTCCGCCGGATAGTCCGCTCATGCTGCCGGCGAAGGGGTGGCCGCCTACTAAGCTCACTCCGCTCCCGCGGTTGGTCACCGCACCTGTGTGCGCGTGCAGCCCTGGGATCTGCTGCTGCTGCTGCGGCAGCGGTGATGGCGGAGGCAGTTGGTGGATGTGGTGTGGTGGTGATGGAAGGAGGAGTTGTTGTTATGAGGACGCGAGAGTTTTGCGTCATGAAGGGAGAGGGAGGGAGAGTGGTAGAGAGAGGGAGAGAGAGAGAGAGAGAGAGAGAGAGAGAGAGAGAGAGAGAGAGAGAGAGAGCCAAAACAAGAGAGAGATATAGCGAGACGCAGGCGGACGAGCACAAGGCGAGCACATGCCAGATAGCCAGCCAGTCACGAAACGCCAAGCGCGCCAATCTAACCCCACCCTCGCCTCACCTTCCCCGTGCTGACCAGTGCTTTTTACAACAACCTAAAAGCCTCCGCGCAAAACAAATTTATCCTCTCCAAACTTTCCCCCCCCCTTCCTCCCCCACCTTCCTCACCGCCTCTTTCCCCCATTCCCCTTGCCTTACCTGCTGCAGGTTGGTAGGGAGTGCGCTGGTGCCGAACCGGCCTGCCGCCATGTTGCCTGTGGACGGAGGTTGCGCCTGCGCGGACGGCACTCCGCCCATTCCCGTGCCTCTCGTAAGTGCGTTCTGCATACTCTGTATGCTGTACCCCGTCGCTTGCACATTGTGCAGCGATTGCAAGTTACCTGATTATATACGGAAGGTACAATAATGGAATAATGGAAGACATTTCAAGGAAGTTCTGCGTGTCCGGTGTGCTGAAGCCGGTCACCAGCGAGTGAAAGTTGCCACATGACGGAGAAGTTGTGTTGGAAAAAAAACAAAAAAAAAAAAAAAAACTGCGAAAAAAGAGACAGGATAAACTCTATGTAATTGCAAGTCCACGCCACGGAAAGAAAGAACGCGCCCACCAGACGCGTGGACGAGAGCTCAGCTTACCTCCCCATGAAACGTCCCTGGACCTGTGTGTGGTACTTGTAACTTCGCCGATTCAAAAAAAAAAAAAAAAAAAGGAGACTCAGCGTACCTCCGTGATGGAACGCTCCTGGATTTGCTGCTTGTGTCTGTGGCGCTGCAAACGATGATGCGAACTGGCGACTGGAGTTCCCCGAATCAAGCACGGCTGGTGTTGATGTGTTAAGCATCGACTGCTGCAAGGCCATAGGACAAGTCATTTTGCAATCTGTCTGTGTTAAAAAAACGCACAGAATTGCGAAAACGGCGAGCCAACAAGGAATCCGCTAGGAAAAACAAGGTTTCCAGCCAACAAATTGACAGTCTCAACCCGCGACGGAAGCGGATGCCGAGGATACGGAGGTGACCGCGAGAGTGTAGAGACATACCTCCTTGACAGAGGCATCTTGTCTATAAGGGTAGTACATTGTCGGATCAACGCTGAACATCTACCGGGCATTTCGCTTTCTTCGCAGATCCAGCTTGCCTGAACACATCCCACCAACCACTAAGCATCAGTCGACACAAAGTAGTCGTTAACCACCCAGCACCGGACGCGTGTCAAATTCCCTAACTTATGGAAACCGCTTAGCATTCAGAAACTGCGATGAGCTACCCTAGGGCGACAAAAACCTTCAAATACTTCCGAAAATATCTAGCGCTTCGCTTCTGTCAAAGATCCAGTTTCCGACTGCTTAGTCCCACGCAAATCTGCCGTTCCGAACCGAGCTGCTCAAGGCAATCCTTCCTGTCTGTTGAATCTATACCGTAAGGACCAGCAAATACTGTACAAAGAGCTATAGGATGCCTAATGGGGACCATGAAAGGAGCAAATCGGACTCAGTCCTTCAACCATGAGGAACTGTTCGAACAGCTGTACAGGCGATTGCAGCGACGACCTTGAGTATGAGGGCTACCCTACAAGCCCGATGCAAGTTGGCTAACGATCGCGATAATAGCATGTAAATGACGGAGCGTATTTACCTAAAGGAAACACCTCAAAACCGCAGAAGCGAGCTCAGCGGCCAACTCAACTTCTTGTGACCTCGTCGCAACCGCAACAACAAGAAAGTCGCAACAATTAATCTCTATACGCAGAAGGTGTTATCAGATAAGGGAACGAACGGAACGTTAGCAGTCCATATTGCGACAAGGACAAGTTGTCAATGGATACGGAGCACGGCCATGATTTGAGATGGTAGGAGGAAGAAAGGAAAAGAAGTAGAAACTGTGGGATTTGGTAACCCTAGCTTTTATCCTCACTGCTCCACAAGCAGCAATCGAAATCGCGGATCACGTACCACCCGAAGAAAAGAGGCGGAGCTTGAAGAAGGGGAAAGGAAGCGGAGAGGATGAGATAGGCAGGGGGGAGAAGAGGATAGCGGACGGCTGTGGATGACGGGACGGGGCGTGGGCGGGGGAAAGCGGTGTATGCGCGCGCAAAAGGCGGTTGCGGGAACAAGGCTGCGCAACAGGCCAGCTAGGGCGAAAGCTGCGATGAGTGGTCGTCAGGCTTTTGGTCAGAGGGCCTCAGCCAAACGCACATTCAAAATCCAGAAAAATGTGATTGTTGAGGAGATTCTACTAGCGAAATTCAGTCGGCGTGAAGTGTCTGTGAAGTGTACAGCGAATGCTACGCTTACCCTAATCATCAACTAACAAAAACATACCGTAGTTTAAAAGTACAATTGTGGACAGTAACACAAGCTCTATTCCATTAGAAGATCCTTCACATGTATCCAACTGCTTAAAGCGACTTAAATCATGGATAAGAGACGATAAACCAAGCAGCATCCAGCAGTCATGGAAATCCAAGAGATGTGAAGGCGGCACCAGAGTTAGTAGGTCAGACGTCCAGCAGGAGTGGAACAAACAGGAGACAAAGCAAGAATGGTGCAGTGGGAAAACGTTCCAGTCAAAATATTCCTAGCAAATATACTAGCATCAGTGGCTGGGACAGTGCACAGTTCGCAGCACACGGCACTTAAAACAGCCCTGGTGGCTGATACATTGATGGTGCACGAACTTGTCCGTTCACTGCCGAGCCAAAGCCATACTGGTCATCACTCTGTGGCCAACTCAGTGCTGCAGGACTGAGAGAGCGAGGGGCATGAAGAAAAGCATCTGAGTGAGTGAGGGGATTGCTCGGAACTGAGGCTTCTGGAAGCTGTGGAGCTTGTGCGAAACCATGAGAGTGCTGAGATGGACGAAGAGCAAATGTGCCATTGTGGCTGCTGTTCCCCAGAAACTGATTGATAGGAGCTGCTGGTAGATATTCAAAGCTCCCATCAGTCTGAACAGCTTGCGACGATGGCTGAAAAGAACTGACTCCTTGAGAGAGCGGCGGCTGATACGATGTAGGCAAGGAGTTGAGTGGGTCCGACAAAAATAAGGAGGATGAAACACCAGAAGTGATCCCAGAGGCGAAGGCAGCCTGCTGCTGCATTTCAGCATTGCCCAATTGCCAGTTGGTACTTTGCTGTAGTCCAGAAACACTGCTAGTAGTAGCAGCTGCAGAGACATGTGGCATTTGGTCGGCTTCAGCATCACAGACCGACCCTAAAGGAGCTTTTGTTGAAGGTGGAGGAGATGACATCTGAAGCTCAATGGTCAGCGACACCGGATTCTTACAGATAGGGCAAAGAGCCAAGGATGGAGAGCACTTGGAACATGAACACACGTGAGAACACTCCAGAAGAAGCTGCAAAAACATGAAATTAATCAATTAGAGCTGCATTCTCAATAACACAGTTCTGTAGAGAAGATAAAAGAACTCACCACAGTGGCAGGCTGGGACTTGCAGACCACACAGCATCCATAACTAGCATCATCTGCTTCACTTGCACCTGATTCTGATTTCACACATGAAAGTTCTGTAGAGTTGTTGCCATAAGAAGAATCAGAAGGTAGATTCTGAACGGAACAGATTGGTTCTGGCTTTGGATGTGAGACTTGAACTGAACGAGGCTGTGCAACCTGCTTTTCCTGCACAGAAGAATCACCACTATGAACTAACTGATTGGAAGGCTTTACTGGCTTCGGCTTCGAGAGCTCCGGGAAAGCTTCCGATTCGAGAGGAACAGCAATGCCTGAAGTGACAGCTGAAGCCTGATTAACCCTCTCAGAATGACCGAGAGGTTTAGCTGATTCTGTGTAGTAGGTCTTTCTCATGTACTCAAGGGTCGTCAGAAGATGATGAAATGCTTGCGAAGTTAGCAAACTTGACACTCGGTTGACCCTTACATTCAACATGCTGTAAGTGGGAGGACAGGTGAGGGAAAGAAGAGCCAACAGAAAAGGGGGCAGGGGGGGGGGGGGGGAAGTGTAATATCTATTGAAGGATGAGATGATGGTGGGGCGTGGCAAAGCGGAGAAGTGGCAACGGCAAACAGGGATGGGGTGTAGAGGGAGAGAACAGAACGGGGTCCAGCTATATGCGAGCTTAAAAGTAATGGAACAAACCATGAATCATCAGATTGTTCCATAACTTCTGTGAAATTGTGGCCACGGAGTAGAAAAGTGAAGCACAAAAATGTTTACTGGCTCAATTTGCATGTAAAGACTATGCTACTTACTCGTCAGGAAGGATGCTCAGGCCAAAACACAGAATTTCCAGGGCTTGCTCAGACTTGGAAAAATATGAAACATGTGCAGCAGCCTCGAGAAGTTCATCAACAATTCTTGCCCGTGACGCTGATGGTACTGCATTCTCGACAGCATAATTTGTAAGAACAATATGAACAAACAACTTTCCAGCAATTCAGCGCTTAACAAAACTTACACGATGGTGTTGCAAGACAAGCTCGCAGCAGCCGCCCACTCTGCAGCGGGGAGGTATCACACGCCATGTCTGAAAAGCAGCCAGACATTGACCCCAGCATAGTCTCTGCTACCTCCACTAGATCCAAGCTGAGACAAGCGTAATGGAAACGAGTCAGCTAACAAGTGCGTACAGAAGTGATTAGGATATTGAGCCTCAAGCACTATACCTTAAGAGGCCTTGCATGGAGCGAACTCCAGCGCGGGTCTTCAAGAGCTTATTACCACCACTCGCCATATTCAGAGCAGCAGTAATTGCGTGCCTTGAAGGCAGCGACCAGCGAATACTCTCAATCAGAAGCAGTGATGCCAGCTGAATCCATTGAAAACACCAGTTATGACGCAAACGATAGCTTCACAAAGAAAACAAAAGCGGCAGTAGGTCGTGACTTACCCCATGCTGTCCAACATAAACTGACGTTTCTTGATCTTTACCAAGCTCCGCACAGATTTGTGCTAAAGAAGTGAATGCTAAGGATGGTGGAATTCGTGCTTTCATTCCCATAGGCGGGCGTAAGGAACAAACGCATATTTCAGCCTGCAGAAGGTTATGCAATGACAGAATAAATTCACTGGATTCACAACTGAAAGCAGTTCAATAAGGATACTGGTTAAAACAGCAACTTACGATTCTTTCAATAACATAAACTGCATACTGGTCCATCACCATTGAAAGCTGCACAGTAAAAACCGTGAACCAGTCAGTCGCTTTGAATACAAAGAGATAAAGGGGAGAGCTTCAGGAGTCTTACAATGCTTCCTTTAATGCTTTCCATAACCATCTTCATTTCTTGAGCTCCATAGAGGCACACAAGCTGCCAGACCACCAGACAGGTTGTAAGATAATGCATCCAACTTCCTGAATCAGTGCGAAAATCCTTTTAACTAACCATTTTCTGAATTGTAAAGGTACCCCGCTGATCTTTTGAAGAAGTCACTAGCCCCTTGTCACGGGTCAAAAAGCGCACAATGGAGGTGAAGCCACACTCCCCATGAACCACCTCATTCCTCGCATTACTCGCATAGTCAAAAAGCTTTTGCAGGACATAATTTCCTGACACTGTAACAGAGAATGTCAGAGAACGAAGAGATAGGATTTCTGAGGACCAATGGCGAAGAGTGGTGACTCACAATGTGTTGAGAGCTTTGCGGCATGAGGAGCGAGACTTTCAAGGGCTTGTTTTCCCACTCTAGACCTTCTAGGGTTTCCTGGACGCAAGTGGTAGGCCAGGTGCCTTGACCCCTGGTAGTGTATGAAACGCCGCAGGTCAAAACCAAATCATTATGATAACGAGTAAATCATTCATGCAACAACGTACTGTGCGATCATACGCCATGGCGACGAAGTCATCGTAAGGCTTCAGAGGAGGGACGATGTAACCTTCTTTCAGGTCATCCGGCCGCGTGTTCAACCGCAATCCACTCCCATCAGCCCCAGTGACGCTGGGAGGAGGAGCATACTCATTCAATCCCCCAATTGAGACAACTCCACTCCGTCCATACCGTACAATTTCTTTGGCCAACCCTTTGGCGCTCCCAGCTCCAATGAGTAACTGAAAGGATTGTCTTTCTTCTCGCAGGTAATTATCATGAGGCTTGATGCATTTGACTGGCGGTAACGTGTTGGAATAGCTTTCAACAATCTGACGGCAGAAAGGGCAGCGGACTCCTTTATCAGCCTGCATGCAACGAGACGTAAGGATTCACGTTCATGAATAATCCAGTTGCAACCATGGCTACTGACAAACAACCACACAGAAACTGGTTAGCACCAGGACCTTATAAACAGCGGACTGTCTGAGCTTCTGGACGCAATCTGCGCACGATTTGTGGCGGCAAGGAACGAAATACAAATCCGCAGACGTGTCTTCGCAACATATCGCACAGAACTCGCCATCAGAACCTTCTGACTTCTCCTCATCAAGCTTCAAAGACGAACGCAAACCATCAACCAAAGAATCGTGCGCTGTCCCTCCCTTAACTTGCGCTTCTTGAGATGCAAGCAATCTGTTCAGGAACGACATGATGCTGGCGATTCGCTGACCAGCTTGTATTTGCTAAGTGGCTACTCTGGCTCGGAATCTGGTGCTCGATGATTGTGAATGTGGTGGTGCTGTTTTGGGAAGAGTAGCAAAGCTCTGTGGTATCTGTTGATCTGAACCGCTTCGCCAAAGTGTATTCGATCATTTGTTGCAACCACCAAATCGGCTATTGATATTTGCCACAGCCGGTTGTGTTTCTAACGGAACACCCACTAGGGGAAAAGTTTGGAGCTGAACCAGAATGTTCCTACCCTCGCTTTCCCCTTCCAGGACTTGAATCTCATTTTTGCCTGAACGCCATTCTCACACGACCCACATCCCAGCTCCGCATTTCCGGAATGAGCTCAGGTGATCAGCCGTCAAGTGCGAGTGAGGTAAATGATGCAACCATGTCAGGTGTAGGCGAAGCGAAGGTCACAAGCACACCAGATGAAGACGCCCACGCCGTATTATCATCTGCTCTCATCAATTCAGCCGTTGAGCTCAACACATGGAGCTCCATCAAGTCTTTGCGCGGATTAAGCGTATCGACCCCACCGGAATCACCTGTTACCGCAGCTCTTGCCTTTTCTGAAACTTACTGGGTATGTCTGCCGTTCTTGCTTATGTCATCCCAGCCTAAGTAAAATGCGCTGCAGTCTGACTGCTGACAAATGCGCAGAAGAAGAACATGCTAACCTATGGAGACAAAGTCCCTGATGGTTTCGTTGACGTTTGGGGAGCAGCCGAGCAGTTTCCGTTGTCATCATCCATCATCCTTGACAACTTCCCAGCGACTGTTGAGGCTGTTCTAGTGGACAGAAAGTCAGACGCTGAGCTCATCCTTCTTGAACGCAAAGCAATTTTAGTTGATAGTCCAGCCAGTCCTTCCGGCGCCTGCACAACTGCAAAACTCGGTTGGCGAGGCATCGCAGTTCGTTTGGCAGAGCTTGTTGCAAACCGTATGGGAGGAACAGCAGACTCAGACCAGTCGCTGCAGTCTGACTGGCGATCTGTATATTGGAAAATCAAGAGCGCATTTCGGAGTCACTACATTTCACTTGGCTTGATTACTTCTGGATTAATCAGGCACAGGGTCCTTCTCTTTAAGGTATGCCAAACAGTTCTACCATTCGCGTTTTGCCTGGGTGAGCTTCATTGGCACGTGTTGTCTTCCAGGTGCTGGCGGATAGAGTTGGCGTACCTTGCTGCATTGTCCGTGGTCGGTTTTACACTGGCACAAAGGATGATGCAAGGGCCAAGATTCGAGACGAAAATGGTTCAGAATATGTGGTTGATCTAATGAAAGCGCCAGGCCTTTTAGTCCCGGTTACAAATCTGGAAACGCCTACAATTTCACCAATTGCAAGTCCTGTTGGTGAATACTGTGAAGTGGGGACAGCTCTTTTTCCAGCGTTGGTGGCATCCATGGCGAAATTACAGGGGAAGGATGGTACGTGTACAACACTTCATTTTTAGCATGTTGACCCTAGACTCTGACTGAAGTCACTGTAACAGGACCAGAACCTGATTCTCGGAAAACACGTTTTGGGCAAACGCCTCTGAGTCATCAATCTGGTGATGGAAGTGGATCAGATGTCGGAAGCAGCAGCCCAATGTTTCGTCCCGAAGACAGGAAGAACCGACGCAGATCACCTTCCTGGACGGATGGATGGGGTTCCCCACAAGTTCCCATGCTTGTTGCAGATGTTGCCAAGGAGAATCCAAGATTTGCTCAGAGGCTAAAGGTATACAAACTTTCATCATGACAGACAAATGCATGTCATCGACTCATGTTGAGACTTCCTTTCTCAGGCTGTTCTGCAGTCTCCTGATAAAGAAAAACGACAGTTGTTTTCAGACAATCAGGTGACGAGTGTCTTATTGTGATCTTTCATCATCATTTCTGCTCGTCTTGACTGACCAAAACAACTCAATCTGTTCAGGCTGTAGAAACAGAGGAAGCAAGGTTGGATGCAGGTAATTCATGAGGGAAAGCTTGAAATCAAGCCAGCCGAAGTGTTCATGTGCATTTTTCAACAGCAGAGTGTAATCATGGCAGATAAAACCGACAACCACGGTGAAAATGCTTCGCAGTCAGTATGTGAAGACCCTAACGATTTCAGTTTCTCAAAAGAGATCAAAATATATACAATGGATGGCTATTTGATTCCAAGGGGGGCAGTGTCACTTGGCGAACGAGTGGGACTAGGTATGTGATGTGCCTTAAACAATCAAAGCTCCCATATTCAAGGTTAAAATACAAACTGCCTTGCAATTGCAGGGTCCTTTGGAGAAGTGTTCAAGGGCGAATGGAATGGCTTTGTACGAACCTTTGTTCTGGATTTTCTTGGTCTGATTGGCAGATTACACTCTGTTAACACTCGCTTTTGGCAGGAGGTGGCAGTGAAGAAGCTGATAGATCAAGAAATCCCAGCTGACGCTGTTGAAGATTTCAAGTCTGAGGTACTGTATTCATATGGCCGAATCCTTCCCGCATTGTCATAATTTTGATGTACCCAGGATAATCTCACTCTATCGCTGAGCGCAGGTTGCCATGATGCATCGGCTACGTCATCCGAACATTCTGCTTTTCATGGGTGCAATCATTGACCCTCCACATCTATCAATTGTGACAGAATTTCTCCCACGGTATGTGTGTTTTGTGGCATTCCATGGTTGTCAACCCTTGTGGTTAACTTCTTGGAGTGGCAGGGGAAGTATTTTCCGATTGCTGACAAGGCCAAATGCATCTTCAAGCATGGATGAGCGTCGACGATTAAAGATGGCACTGGATGTGGTGAGTTAGTGTATTGTAGGATCCCTTTCTACAGTAAACGCAATTTGAGTGACGTTATGTTTGCAGGCAAAGGGGATGAATTACCTTCACTGCTGCAACCCTCTTATCGTTCACAGAGACCTCAAATCTCAAAATCTTCTTGTGGATAAGAATTGGGTCGTGAAGGTGAAACATTCTTTTATGTGCGTAATTGCTTGGACTGAGAAACGTGCAGTGACACTGACACAGGTGCATTCTAGGTTTGTGACTTCGGGCTGTCAAAGATCAAGCATCAAACGTATCTCTCATCAAGGACTGCAGCTGGAACAGTATGTATGACCCATTCTGCTTCACTGTTGCTGTGTCTGAGTTTTGATCATCATGTGTCATCATATGCAGCCAGAGTGGATGGCCCCGGAAGTGCTGCGCAATGAACCTACAAATGAGAAGTAGGTTGTCTGCTTGTGCTCCAGCCACTCCTGCCTAAACCTCGGTCCCCTTTTTCCACTCTTTTTCACACCGCTTGTTCAGTAAATGCGTGCTTTCTATCTAACTTAAGTTGTTTGTTTTCAGGAGCGATGTTTACAGTTTTGGTGTAGTCCTTTGGGAGCTCTCGACAATGCAACGCCCATGGAGGGGCTTGAATGCCATGCAAGTTGTTGGAGCTGTTGGATTCCAGCAAAGGAGACTGGATATACCAGCATCAGTTGATCCTGCTGTTTCAGAAATCATCAGAGCTTGTTGGGCAGAGTATGTCCCACAACTTTTTGCGTTTTCCCTTGAACTCTCGATTCTAAGCTCCCACTTTCTCCCAAGCAGGAAACCTTCTGAAAGGCCATCATTTTCAATGATAGTGCATGAACTCAAAGCCCTGCATAAAAAGTGGACTTCTCCAGTGAGCCCAAGGTCACCTTCATGAGTGGAACTAGTTTGTGCTGGTAGTCGAGCCACCCTCCAGTGCTGTTATGTCTTCTGTTTGAGAGGGGTTGCGCATGTGAATGCATAGCTGGTGAATGCTCTATAACACTGTCATGACAATATCAGTGCTGCAAGTGAAGTTACCGTACTACTGATATGCAAAATGCTCTATGCAGTTGCTGATTCTGGCATTTTGAACCAAACATGATGAGGCACAAGTGACCCCTCGTGCTTTGCCATATATTGAGCATTCATCCTGCAGAGAAGCAATGGGCGCGTAGATAGGAGAACAAAATGAAGCTGCCAAGCTCATCATGCATGCGGCCACATAATTTGCTGAGGAAGAGGTTGGGAGATAATGAGGGTCTACGTCACAAGGGTGGCACAGATGGGGGATTGACAGCATGACAGGCAGAAGTTAGCTCACTTGTCCACGTCAATGGGGCGCAGGGGATCGAAGGGTTCTGGGGTAACTCCAGCTGCAAATCCAGAAGCAGGCGCTGCTGCTGCACTTTGTGGTGCTGGTGTTGTGGCGGGAGATGCTGCCGCTGCAGCTGGAGCAGCTTGAGCTTGAGGCCAAGCCTGGCACCACAGTAAAAACAATGTGAATACAGAGAGTCCCATCCAAGCATGCAGTCAAGCCAGTATATTATGAGCTAAACAGTAATGACTGCTTGAAAATCTCTCATGTGCACATACCTGTTGCTGCCCGTAGCCCCCATATCCTCCATATCCACCATATGAGGCATATGCTCCCTGGTTGTAACCCCCTGAAGCATCGTAACCACTGTACCCTCCGTAGTAACCAGTGTTACCGGCAGCAGCGCCCCAACCACCTGCCGCTGCTGCATTGGGATCGTGCTGCTGCTGCGGCTGCTGCCACTGAGAGCCTTGCGAGGGGTATGTCGAGGTACGCTGTGCAAAGAACCACCATAAAAACAGAGACAATGGTCGTTAGCAGCAAGGAGAGGCATTAGAGTAGTAAGGCTAGAGACGAAACGAAAATAGCGACAAAACAAACGCATGCGCATACACAAACACATGCTCATGCACGTGACCATACACATACGCATCGAGATGCCTATGCAAGAAACATATATAAACCATCTAACGCATGAGGCAGTGGTACCTTTGAGGCAGGATTGCGTCCCCATGAGAGCCGCACAGACTGCTGCCCAATGACCGTGCCGTGCATATTCCTCAGCGCCTCCTCTGCCTGTGATCTGACAATGGGGGGAGGGGGGGAGCAGGGGGGGGGGGGGGAGGAGAGGAATCGGGACAAAAAGCAGGAAACAACACAGAATTAGCTTCGGAGGTGCCTCAAAAAGGGGGTGGAAAAGAAGGCCGGATGATGGTTACTACACACTGGGGGGATGCAGGAAGGATAAGAGTAAGAGCAATTTAAATGACCCATGCACCAGTGCACCAAAGCACCCATCCATCCAACCATGCACCCACCGATGTCGGAACTGCACGAAGCCACAGCCCTTGCCGAATGGGATCTTCACGTATACCAGCTCGCCCCACGGCCCAAACACCGCTCTCAGCTGCTCGTCCGTCACACTCTGGTCCAAACCTCCCACAAAAATCTGCCGTGAAACAGGACGGGGGCGGGAAGAAGGTTGCTTTAAGCTTGACTCAAAACACAGCAACCCCGGTTTGCCCCACGGCCCAAACAATGCTCCCAGCTGCCCATCCGTCACACTTTGGTCCAACTCTCCCACAAATATCTGCCATGGGATGGGATGGGCAGTGCAGCAGAGAACAAGGAATATCGAAGGAAATGGAGGCGGAAGATTCGAACCAAACACCACTCACACCACCCAAGCTTGGCCCACGAACCAAACACCGCTCTCAGCTGCTCGCCCGTCACACTGTCACCTACCACCACACAGTCTGCTCACTCACTGTGGGGCTGAGGCCCCGTTCGTGCACCTCTGCCTTGCCCAGCCAACCCACAAATTGCTGACTTTTACAGTTGCTGGTTCAACGAGAACAGTCTGCCCACTCACCGTGGTGTTGCTGGGGTCGTCCTCTCCCCCGGGCCCCTGTGGCTGGGGCTGGGGTCCTGCCCTCTCCCCTTCCCTCCCCTTGCCTTGAAAATCCCCACACTGCCCACTCACCGTGGTGTTGCTGGGGTCGTCCTCTCCCCCGGGTCCCTGTGGCTGGGGCTGGGGCCCCGCCCGTGCACCTCCCCCTTGCCCACCCGGCGCACCACCTGAAAGAAGGGGAAATTCCGGGTCGTAAAGAAAGAGGATGCTTTGGGACAGGAGCTCCGGTCGGGGCTTCTTGTAAGTGGCGATGCTGATGCGCATGGGGCATGAGAATCACAGCACATCACATTCTCACCCTACCCCACCGTACTCTACCCACCTTCGCCCATTCCACTCCGGGCCCACTCCTCTCTTCCCCTCACCTAGCCCCAGCGCTCAGAGCTTCTTGGGAGTGGCGATGCTGTTGCGCATGGGGCACGAGGAGGAGCACATCACACATCTCCACCCTACAACCATTACCCATTCTTACCCTGCCCCTTCCTGCCACATTCTGCCTCATCCTACCCCATCCTGCCCCGACCTCTTCCCCTTACCCTGCCCCGGCGCCCCGGGCTTCTTGGGAGTGGCGACGCTGATGCGCATGGGGCGCGAGGAGCACATCTGGCCGTTCATCTCGTGCAATGCGCGGTCCCGCTCCTCCTCCGAGGAGAATCGGACGAAGCCGTAACCCTTGGTGCGCCCACTCACATTGTCCACCACCACCTGATCATTAGCGAGGAAGGAGAAGCAGGGAACGATGGGGAACAGGGGAGGGGATTGAAAGAGGGTGGGTTCAGCCCTATGAGGGAAATCGCACGAAGCCGTAACCCTTGGTGCGCCCACTCACATTGTCCACCACCACCTGATCAATAGACGCACGGGAGGTGCGGCAGGGAGCGATGGGGAAAAGGGGAGGGATGGAAATTGGGGCGGGAAGAAAGAAGGGGGGGGGGGGGGGGGGGGGGGGGGGGTTCAGGCCTATGAGGAGAATCGTACGAAGCCATACCCCTTGGTGCGCCCACTCACATTATCCACCACCACCTGATCTCCAGTGCGGGAAGAAAGGGCGGATAAAACAGGAAGGGGGAGCGGGGAGGAAGCGGGGGTTGGGGAACAAGGGGGTGGGGGATGTGCGCCTTGGTGCATGTGCGCCCAGCCACGTTCTCAACCACCACCTGTTCAACAGAAGGGGAGGGGGGGGGAGGGGAAGGCGCAGGAAAGGTTGAGGAGCGGCGGGGGGGGGGAGAGGTAACGGGGGTTGAGACGTCCGAGGAGAATCGAAGGAAGCCATACCCCTTGATGCCCATGCGCCCACTTTTTAGACGCCCGCCCGCTCACACTGTTCGCCACCACCTGATGCCCAGCAGGACAGGAAGGGGCTGATATAACAGGACGGGGTGGGGACCTGTTGCAGGGAGGGTAACTTCGCACCCACCTCATCCAACGGACCAAATCGCAAGCGCAAAACCCAGAACCCTGTCCCATTCCCCTGCGCCTGTTCTCATCCCTTGGCCTCACCTTGGTGCCTCTAACAAAACTATAGTGGCACTGGAAGGCTTTGCAAAGACCTGCTCTAACATAATCGCCATTCGCGTCTAAAGACCTGCTCTCGCTTGCCTTTAATACACCCCTTCCCTCTCAACCTCAACCCTAAACCTTCAACTCTCAAGCCCAAAATCCTAACCCCCGAACCCTACCCTATCTTTTCCCCTCTCCTCAGCTTTGCGCCTCTGACAGAGCCATAGGGGCAGCAGAAGGTCTAGCAGAGCAGATGGTCGTTCACGTCTGGAGCCAAGCCTCACTTGCCATGCATACCACTCTCATCCTCACGCCCCACTCACCCACACACTCCTCGTGGCAGCGGATGTGTCTGGACTCTGGAGCCAAGCGTCACTTGCCATACACACCTCTCTCATCCACACGCCCCCCTCACCCACACACCCCTCTCGCCCTAAACCCTAAGCCTGGGATCCAGAACCCTATCCCCTTCCCCACCCCTCACCTTGGCGCCTCTGACAGAGCCGTAGCGGCAGCGGAAGGTTTCACAGAGAAGGTAGTCGTTCACGTCTGGAGCGAGGTCACCCACGAATATGGAGAACTCCTGCCCGTCCGCTGGGCGGCCGCCACTGGGGTGTTGGGAGAGAAGAGGGGGTGAGGGGGGGAGAGAGGGGGAGAGGGGGCCAAGGATGGAAGGAGGAGTTAAAAAGTAGTCGTTCACGTCTGGAGCAAAGTCGCCCACGAATATGGAGAACTCCTGCCCGTCTGCTGGCCGCCCACCACTGGTACGGAGGTGGGATGCGGGTGAGAGGGGGTTAGGGGGGGAAGTGATAGAAGGTTTTGCAGAGCCGATATTCATTCACATCTGGAGCCAGGTCGCCTGCGGGTAACGCCTCCATACACGGAGAACTCCTGCCCGTCTGCTCGCCTGCCCGTCTCCACGAATATGGAGAAATCCGCTCTCGCATTTCCCAACCTTAACTCCCCCCTTCTCCCCCCCTCATCAGCCTTTTTCTCCGGCCCAGTTGATGCAGAAGGGCTGTTGCTCAGCCTGAGGCATCGGCGTGCCCTGGTAGGTCGCTAGCAGCTGCGCTCTCAGTATCAGGTACCTCCACCCACCCACCCCAACCCATCCACACACCACGCCTTCAATACCATTACTTCACGCATTCCCCATCCTTTCCCCCGGAAAATCCCCGCTCTTTTCCCCCACGCCTCCCCCCTCCTCACCCTTTTTCCCCCGCGCCAAACGCGGCCCAGTTGATGCGGAAGGGCTGCTGCTCCGCCTGAGGCATGGGCGTGCCCTGGTAGGTCGCTAGCGCCTGCGCCGCTGCTGCATGAGTCGTGAACTCCACGAACCCGTACCCCTCGGGCTGCCCTGTCGCCCTGTTGCGGATGATTTTAGCGTTAGCAACCTGCGGGGATGGACGGGACGTTGTGGGGGGGCGGGGGGATTGGAGGGGAGAGGTTATTAGAGCTTGCTGCACTGCTGCATGAGTCGTGAACTCCACGAACCCGTACCCCTCGAGCTGCCCTGGCCCCCTATTGCGAATGATCTTCGCATTTGCAACCTTTGGGGATGGACAGGGGGTAAGTACCACAGTAAAGGGGGGGAGGTAGCGGGTTTGGGGAGGGATAACTAGGTAGCAGTTCAATTGAACTCCACTAGCTTTTACTCCGCCGGCTGCCCCGTTGCCCTGTTTTGAATGATCCATGCATCCCCAAATATCAGAATAGAACAGATCAGAATACCAGGCTTTGCAAGCGTTGCGAGAGAAGTGTTTCGCCCGTCTAACTTTGCAAATCATTGCGAGAGAGATCTTATAGAAAATTTAAAACGCTTTGACACCTCAAGCCCTCGTACGTGGCAGAAAAGGTAGGTCTCGACGCCGATCCTTCAAATCCTTCTTTTTTTAACCGAAACGCTTGTAGAGGTCGATGGAACATTGACTGTCCACGCCTGTAGAACGAAAAGTCCCATCGATGGAACGCGCACTAAAAAGCGCCTCAACAATACAGTACTGGAGGTCTCTGAGAGAGAAATTATTTATTTATGACAATTTCTCGCTTATACACGCATGCGGACGCGAACACGTTCCAGAGGTTCCCGTCCGTCCGCTACTGCTGAATCGTAAAATTACCCGATAATTCTAGAGGTCAAAGGCACGCCAACTGACCTGGCCCGTGGACGCAAACGCGTTCCATAAGTAAGTCTCGTCCATCCAGTACTGCAGATCCCCCACCCACAGCGTCCGTGGCTCATCCGCTCCGCCTGCGCCAGCGCCGGTCGCGGCTTGTGCTCCTCCCCATTGACCCGCGGGGGGTGCTGCTGGCTGCATGCTGGCGTTGCGCGTATGAGCGAGGTACGACGACGGGACGGACGGGGCAAAGGAAATGCAGACACAAAAATATGTCGCTAAGAAGAACCCTACTAATATCAGGACAGGATACGGAAAAAAATCCTAGTGGGAGTGTGGGATGGGAAGAAATGTTCTCGTTATTGAATCATTTGGTCGCGTGATATCTCAGCTCAATCAATATTCCCGTCTAGTTTCCTTACTGTGTCTTCCTTATCTCCTTCGGAACTGAACAAGGCCAGTGCTGTGAAATGATCCTCTGCAAATGTTGCAAACATTCAAAAGGTCCAACGAAGTGCAGCTTTCATGCTCTACACTAGGAGTACCTGAATCAAAAGCTAACAATAATGTTAACTAATCACCCAACCCAACCCTCTACACTACACGGAGCTGCACTTCCTTGGACCTCAAGTGTATTCTCCACCCACTACACCACAACTCCGTTTGAAGCAGCCTCAACTGCGCCAACAGATGCCTTATCAGCATCTACACCTTTCCGCGCATACGTTCGCCGGTACAAATCATCCACCTGCGTGAGGTAGTAAGTGCCGGGCTGAAGGCGATCCGTGGGAGTGGCTGGGGTGAAGGAGCATGCACCGTATCGGGATTCCATCAGATGCATTGTCTTGACAAACTCCTCTGGTGTTACCTGGTAACAGAAAGGGGAGCAGGAAGGGGAGGAGCTTGTCTGTGTGAGTGAAAGAATCCAGCAGCTGGTGCTTCTCGAGATGAACAGTGAGTGTGAGAGCAGCTAGGGAGAAGGGATCGACAGTCAATACACACTGAAAGGTGCGATATGCAGCGGCTTGAAGAGGGCATTCACACGCCCTCACAAACACACGCACACAAACCCACCTTGGTGCGAGACTCGAGCAGCTGGTGCACATCCAGATGAGAGGTGAGTGTGGCGAGGGAGAATGGGTCAGCAGCTTGGCGCACGGTAAGCGAGAAGAGGGTGGACATGAGGCCAGAGCCATACGAGAAGAGCAATATGCGATGGCCCTCCTGATGGGGGTGGAGAGGGAGAGGAGGACCGCGAGGGAGGAAGATGAAAGGGGCGAAGAGCGTGGACATGAGGCCAGAGCCGTAGGGTAAGAGCAATATGCTATGGCCCTCCCGATGTGAGCAGGGACACCATAGAGCGAGGCACAGTACATGTTGCTCCCACGATTGATTGCTCACCGTCATTACCCGCACCACCAGTTCTACCCGCACTATGACTGCTGCCACCACTAGTTCCTCTAGCATTGTGAGTGCACCCATGCTTTGAGCCACCGCGCGTACCAGTTGCTGCCCTTGCTGTGCAAGAAGCGATGAGAGGCTGCCATAGAGCGAGGCGCAGTACATGTTGCCCACACGCTTGCCCACGAGGGTGGTGGGGCCCACCTTGCTGCTGTACACCGGCCCTGCCACCCGCATGGCCGTCTGTAGGCAAGGGGGCAGGAGAATGGGCACAGCGCACAGGGGCACAGGTGTAGAGACACAGAGGGTTAAGGGAGCTGGCTTAGTCACAGTAGTTACAAGTGTCCTTGACAACTCTTGCCAAGTACCACCTTCCTTAAGCAAGTCCACAGCATGCAAGCGGCTCACCTCCTTCCAGGTCTCTGTCCACAATGCACTTGTGTGATCCTCTCCATCCAGGAGGTTCAGATGATGCCCGTTCCCATTCAGGTGTTAAGCGCCAAGTATCAACGTTCCCAGGGAGAATGAAACTACACCATGCAAGCAGCTCACCTTCTCCAGGTCTCTGTCCACGAGGTCAGATGAGTGCCCCTGCGCTCACCTTCCCCAAGTATCACCTTCCCCAGGCAGGGTGAAACCACAGGAGCAGCTCACCTTCTCCAGGTCTCGGTCCACGAGGCTCTTCTCTTCCTCCAGCCCCACAAACGGCTGCAGTGCGTCCGCCTCTCCTGCACCCAGATATGCGCTGCATAGGCACGGGAGGAAATGGATGAATGGGGGACAAAGGGGAAGGCGGGGGAGGTGGGGAACGGGGAAGAAAAAGGGGACATCTCATGTGATTTCTTGTTCCTGCCCCTCTTGGCCCTCACAGTTTCTCTATGCCGTATCCCTATGTCCTCCTGTTCACTCCACCCATCATGACATTAGTGCCAGCCGTGGAGGCACTTCTGCAACTGAAGCCCTTATGCTCTTAGCCATGTTGGCCCCTACGCCCGTTCCCCCTTGCGACCATTCCCTCTTGCACCCGTCCTGTCTACAGTGCGTCTATGCCCTGGCCCATACAGACTACACAGGCTATGGCACCTTGTGCTTACGTACCTGCTCACTCCCCTCTTCACATCATTGAACACTAGCCGTGCCAGACTCTTCTGCACCAGCTGGGACACGCAGGGAGGAGGGGAGATGGACGAGGGGAAAAGAGGAGGGGGACGTGTGTGTGAGCAGAAGCATAGGCCATGGCATCATCATGGTCCTATTTCATGACATAAAACATCCGAAGCCGTATTTTGATGAAAGACATAGTTTCTGCACCTTCATCAATTGGTGAGTAGGGTGTGTCAGTCTGTCTGCTTCCTGAAGCACATGTGTAAGCAACTTGCATGGCTAGAACCCAGCGTGCCGTGCACCAGTCCCGCCATACCTTGTTGTAGGGAGAGTGGAAGACCACGGATTCAGTATCAGCCAGTGAGAACGCAGAGCCATGCTTCTTGGCGTACCTGCAAAACAGCACACAGGCAAGCAGGCAGGCACGCAGCAAGAATGCATACAGGCACTTTCAAAGCATGCATTGCTTGTTGAAACGCGAAAGGTTGCTGGCTTCCAATTCTATAACAAACGGGCGAGCGGAATCAAGAGCGAGCACGCTCACTGTTGAAGGGATGGCGTTTGAGAGCTTACTTGTCACAGAAGCGTTGGTAGCAGTGGTCGAGCGCCTTAGTGTAGCACGTCTGAGATAGCTTGCCGTCCACCACCTGCACGCACACATGCATCCACGATGCAACATATTGGTGATGGGATAAGTACTCAGGTGATAGTACCAGGGACTAATGCAATCCAAGGAATGTCATGCACATTTCACAAGGTTCTATGGAATATACCCCCCCACAACACTCCTTTTGCTAGCACTCTTATCATCCAAGGATAAAATTTCAGGTCCAAGCAGAGGCACAACCAAGGGTTTGAACTGAGCATCACTTTCATGTGGAACTCCCGAGCAAAATCAACTCACAGGGTATTCACTGGCGAGTTTGGGCTTGTAAAAGTCGTACGCATGGGCGGCATAGCTGCCCGCCAGCCCACTCTCGAATGCCAGGGGCGCGTCTGGCCCCACCAGCATCGCCACCGCGCCTGCTCCTCCTGTTGGCCGCGCTGGGCCCTCCGCGTACACCTGGTTATGGTAGGGCAGGATAGAAGGCGAGGCAGGGGTTTAGTGTTTCGGGTTTCGGGTTTAGGAGAGAAATATGGTTTGAGGCGCTGAATGGAGCATGGCAAGCGTACAGCACCCCATGCCCAGTAACCCACATCCCTTGGATTTGCATACCCACACCCCTTCCCTCGAACAACGCCACATTCCATGTTATATCCCACATGCCACACATGCCACCGCACACACTCACAGTACCCACATGCCGCGTATGCCACCTCACACACTCACAGTACCCACATGCCGCCCAAACTCCCTCAAACAACACTCGTCCCTCCCTGTACTCACAGCGCTGTCAACAGCAACAACGATGGCAAAACGGCCGTCCCACGACGACCCCTCCACCCAATTAACGCTGTTCAGCAGCGCAGCCGTGCCACCGTAGCACGCGTTGCACGAATCAACGCCCTCCACGTCAGCGTTGCCGCTGGCCTCAAAGAGAGTCATGATGGCGGTCTTGATGGACTTGCTCTTGTCGATCACTGTCTCTGTGCCCACCTCCAGCCGCCCTATGCGTGATGCGTCTACGCCGTTCTTCTCTAAGAGCCGTTGGGCAACAGTCAGGCTGCATTGCAAGGGTGGGGGGAAAGGACAGTGGAGAATTCACTAAAAAAATATTTACTTACATCAGCATGTGATGGATTTGCTGTTGTTGTTCACTGTCTCCGTGCCTATCTCCTGAAGTCCTATGCTTGATGTGTCTATGCTGTTCTTCCCTAGCAGTTCTTGATTTCGCCTCGATTGCGATCTTCAATGCACCAGAACCAGATCAGGTATTTCACTCCATCGAAATGAAACGCACGACAAGGAGAGATGAAACCCACCTGACGAGAGATGAAACGCACCTCATGGAGATGACGTCTTCCTGGTCGCAGCAGAAACCAAGCTCGTCCTGCCCCAACCCGATGGTGTACTTGCCCGCACTCACGCCGTCGTGCACCTCCAACTCCGTCTGCATTTCCCCCACACGTTATGGATGGATCAGGCATACGCGCTAAAAGCGGTTCACGCTAGTACGTGGAGTAACAAAGTCGGGACGCATTACGCAGGAATAATGAACTCGAGGCAGCGACAGACTAGAATGGTGAAATCGAGGCGTACCCATGGCAGCAATGCATAAATTTGTTTCCATTTGTAATGACGACGGGTGTTGTGAAGTGATGCGGGCACAAGGGACGTCTGCAAATCCTTCATACGAAGGCTATAATGCATTGAGGAACAACGAGATGAGATACGAGTTTCAGGAGATGAGAGATGTAGCGACCTGGGAGACGAAGCTGGGTGGGACGTAGAGCTCCATGGCGAGGATGCCGACATTCTGAGGACGCGACGCCATAAGCCGCGAGCGAAAGGAACTAGATTTTGGCCCGGAAAGTAATTTGCGAGAGAGCAACGGCTTGATGGACAAACAGCTGGTGACTCGAGAAGAGGTGGAGTACTAAAAGCCGGACAAGCAGACGGAGATGACGCGGTGGTGGTGAGCTGACGTGAAGTGAAGTGAAATGGATGCAGATCGCCAATTTAGCGGTCTTTATCTGTCTCAAGACTAATTGGTCTCCCCTTTCTTTCTAGGCTGAATCTCAAGGAAAATCAATGGATGCACGATGGATTGCGTGAACGACGAGTGACGATGAAAACCAGTCTCCAGATTTCACACTGTAACGGGTTTGGCGACAGCTTTCCACCAATCAGCTGCTGCGAAGAAGCCACCAAGATCTAGGTGTCACCGCAAGAAAGTGCTTCTTGTTCCCAAGGGTGTCGGTGAACAATTGGGCTAGGAATTGGTGGGGGGTGTGTACTCGTTTCAGACTCACCGAAGGAAAAATATTGTCACCTTGAAATTTCAGAACAAAAAGATCAACAAAGTATAACTCAGCCACGTCATGAGCCACATTTCTTCGGACACGCCCGGACATCCGACTTCTGCGGTGTATGCACGGAAATTGTGTTACTGACAAGTAGAATTGAGTGGGAAAGACCCCGAGCGAAACGGAGACGAAGGACGAAGAACGAAGGACGAAAGAGCATGCGACGTCACCAGATGGTAACTCTAGGTCAAACACAGGGCCAAGCGTCTCGCTAGTGTTTCTTGGCCACGGCAGCACAAAAGCAAGAATAGCGGACATATGTTGCTCTGATGATTAGGCAGTTGTTAGTTGACGAGGTGACCTCGTTCTACATACTTGGTTTGAGGCAGGCCGACCTTGTCATCGTCTTCTCGCCTCTATCCTGACATCAACCATGCAGCTTTTCCTCAGAGGTCCTGGGCCCGAGTCGCACATAATTCCACTCACGATTTGTCCCAACTCGTCTCTTCAAACGTTGATAGATCTCTCCTTGTCAACCTTGCGTTGCGGCGAGACTCTAAGCTTGGAAATCTCACGTCATGGAGGCTGCTTCGGCTGTTCGTCCAATTCTTTCCGTGTGCTTCACGGAGGTCGTCAGCTTTTCCCCTTCGCGTCGTCTCGTCACCGCTTATCCAGCGTAGCCTCCCTCAATGTCCGTCCGTACGATACCTTAGATGTAACCGTACCCTTGCGAGGCGGAGGTGGTGATGGTGGAGCCACGGGAGCTGAGTCGCGTGACTGCTACCTGCAGATGTATGCTGGTCGCCGTCCAGATAAGGTGGACCCGCGTGACACGCGCGTGGCGAGCTGGACGCACTGCCATCTGTCAGGCGAGCCGCTTACTCCTCCTTGTGTGGTGGACCTTCTCGGAAACGTGTTCAACAAGGAAGCCGTGGTGCGCGCCTTAGTGGAGAAGAGCATTCCCGTTGCGCTGAAGCACATCAAGGGGTTGAGGGATGTCGTTGGGATTCAGCTGACGGAGATTCCAGGGCTTGACAAGAAGGCTCATGTCAGGTATGCGGTGGATTGTGTGTAAGGTCCGGTGACGGGCCCACCATGTCTTTATGGGTAGATTCAGGGAGTACTGTTCTTGCTGACAGTCACAGGGACATAATATGCTTGTGTGAGATTGCGCATGTTGCTGTGTTGGTCCAACAAGTCTAGGTGGAGAAGCGAGTTTTCCTCTTTGTTTCCTTGGATTCACGGGCTCCACTTCATGGTGCCCCATCCTCACTTACATATTCGTCTATTGCAGGTTCCAATGTCCGATCACTCAGCAGGAGTTCAGTGGCAGCTTCAAGTTTGTCGCCCTTCGCCCCTGTGGACATGTGCTAAGTGCTCGTGCACTCAAGGAACTGCCCTCCCCAACGTGTCTCGTCTGTCATGCCAAGTTTCTGGAAACGGATCAGATTCCAATTAACGGTACTGAGGAGGAGGTGGAGGTTTTGCGCACTCGGATGGAGGAAGAACAGGCTTCCAGGCGTGCTGGGAAGAAGAAAAAAGGTGCTCCTCCTTCTTCTCAGGTTGATGTGGTTGCTACAGGGAACGATCTGAAGGTAGCTGCAGTGGGGGGTGTTGATGGGGTGGCAGTGGTGGATGTCAGAGCAAGAAGCTTGGAAAAGAAAAGCACCGCAGCAGGGGTGGCAGCAGCTGGTAGTCTGAGCCCTGAAGGCAAAGCATTTGATGCAGGGGGTTTGGTTGATAAGCGAGGAGTCAAAAGGAAAGCAGCAGAAGGACCAACGGCAGGAATGAAGAACACACCAGAAGGCGTTGCCAACAAAGCACGACCAAAAGGTTCGGATTTGGTTCAGGTCAAGCATCATTTCAAAGCAGTGGACAGGCTACCAGCTGGTGCAAGTAAAGATGTCTACGCGTCAATCTTCACTTCGTCGCGAAAAGAAGATCTGAAGGAGACTTACTCATGCAGGTCATTGCCCCTTGGGAGGAACTGATCGCAATCATGACAAGCTACGAGTGTCACCAGTTCTTCCTGGATCCATTCTGCCTTGTATCTACACAACATAAAGCCATCTGATGTGGTGGTGGTGTTGTTATTAACCAGGTTCTTATTCTTTTTTGAAAGTACACACAACAATCTAACTTCCATACAAACTTTTGCTGGCTTATTTGCCATACTGTCCTCATTGCCTGAATTAGACACCCCATCCTACCGTAACCTACTGTACTTGGATAACCTGGACTTGCACACAGAAGTGCTTATTGAGTCTGGTACAATTCTTTACGCAAGCTGAGGTCCTGCTGAGAGGATCTGCTGAGCCAGGGTGGTATCCACACCAGACATGCTCTCTGTGAATTTGGAAAAGTTCGCGTTGAAAAGGCCACCAAGCTTCGTCAGAGTTGCATTGTAAGCACCCTTGTCGGTCCACTGTTTAGCAGACAACACCGCATATTTGGTAGTGAGAACGAGGCGCAGAGCAAAGTGAAATCTGTTGCAAGGGTGGATAGTCTACTCACCATGTTCTGCGGCTCAAGAATCTCCTGAGGCACACCATCAACATGGTCTGGGACTTGAAGACCGAATATTGGGGTCGGCGTATATGTAGCAGATGCAAGAGACCCATTGTGGATCGCATCGATAATCTTCCTCGTATATGCCAGCTTCATCCTGCTTCCTACGCCGTAGCTGCCTCCCGACCAACCCGTGTTCACAAGCCATGCACTAGTTCCATTCTCGTGCATCCTCTGAGCAAGCATACCCGCATACTTGATGGGATGCCACATGATGAAAGCAGCCCCAAAACATGCGGAGAAAGTCGCCTGCGGTTCCTTAATACCCTCTTCAGTTCCAGCGACCTGTACAGTAGAAGGTGCGTCAGTCACAAACATTCAGAAAGAGAAACTCTTCAAACATGAACGGGTTCTCAGAGTGGCCAACAGGTGAGACCCACCAGAGCAGTGTATCCACTAATAAAGTGGTACATGGTTTGGGGAAGGGTCAGCTTGCTGACAGGAGGAAGGACTCCGAATGCATCGCAGGCGAGCAAAATGACATTTCTTGGGTGGGGTCCAACACAGGGAATCTTTGCGTTCGGAATATACTCGATAGGGTATGCAGCACGGGTGTTTTCTGTGAGTATCAGCATGTTAGTGGATGACGTTATCAACAAGAGCAAAACAAGACAAACATACCAGTCACAGACTTGTCTGCATAGTCAACCACCCTGGTGTGGCTGTCAAACACGACGTTCTCCAGGACTGCAAAAGACAAGGGTCAGGAGTTGAAAAACGGTCTAAGAGCAAACACACCAGCAGAATACCTGTTCCAAACTTGATTGCGTTAAATATCTCTGGTTCCTTCTCGGGCGACAGGTCAATGCACTTTGCGTAACACCCTCCTTCGATGTTGGATATACCATTGTCACTCCAGCAGTGCTCATCATCCCCAATCAGGTACCTCTCAGGATCAGTTGAGAGGGTAGTCTTTCCCGTTCCTACAGAAAAACAGCGAAGTTAGTAGACCTTTTCGTAAGAGAATGTTACAGTAGGAGTATCCGGTCAACATACCTGAAAGGCCGAAGAACAGGGAGACGTCACCGCCCTTTCCCATGTTGCAGCCAGAATGAAGTGAGAGTATTCCTCTCTTTGGCATCAAATAGTGCATGAACCCAAAAAGCCCCTTCTTCATCTCGCCAGCATACTGAGTTCCGAGAATAACCATTTCCCTCCTCTTTAAGTTTATGTCAACGCTGGTCGACGATGTCATGTAATGTGTGAAACGGTTGCATGGAAACTTTCCGCCATTATAGATGGTGAAGTCAGGTTCACCAAATGTTTCCAGCTCCTCGGGAGTAGGCCGGATGCACCTGAGTTGTTCAATGAATTAGATAGGATTCTTTTACCTTCTTGAGATTGAGGCAAACTGGCAAGATCCTTACATGTTGTGCATGAAGAGAGCGTGATAAGCACGAGAGGTAATGATTCTGACCTTGACCCTGTTGTCCTTGTCCCAGTTCAGAAACTGGTCGTTCACGAAGACCTGCATCAAAACGAGTACTGAGCATCTAATCCATACGACCAGAGGTGTTACATGAAAGAAGCATACCTTATCCAGAGACTTCAGATAGTCAACAGCACGTTCGCGGTTGATATAGAAGGTCTCTTCGTCCATCTCAATGTTTGGAGAACCCCTGCGGAAACGTGATGTGCTCAGATATATTCACCATATGTGGAAGAAAGAAAAACAAAACACACGTACTTTCCCCACCACAGGTCATCCTGTGAGGTCTCTTCCTTCACGATGCGCTTGTCCTTAGGAGAACGTCCTGTCTTCGCTCCAGAGAGAGTAGCAAGAGCTCCATTTGACGTGATGTACGTCCCCTTTTCATCCTTGATCGCGAGCTCGTAAAGCTCTGTTCAAGGAGTGCGTCTGAAGTTTTTGCAAATCCAAAACAGTGCGGAACTGGTCAGTGCGTTAACTACCTGCTTGTGAAAGATTGTGAAGTACGTGGGTCGCTTTGAGGTTAAAATCGCTGACGTAGTCAGACGGGACAAAATGCACATGACCATCCTTAGTAACAGCGGTGTTCGGATCTCCCTTAATGACGTTAGGGCCCCGCTCCCGCGCATGAGACGCCAAGGAGGCACTGAAAAGATGTTAAATGTTAGAAGCATTGATTGAATGCTTGAGCATCTATGTTGGAAATCAGATGTGTACCTGATTGACTCGGCGCTAGTACCGCCTGAAATTGAAGTTGACTTTCTTTGAAGAGAATGCAGCTCATCCAATGACGTCGCACTGACAGGAGCGGACGAGTCATCGCAGCAAACATGCTTCTCATGTCCAGGGAATGCCATGGTTCTAACCAAGCTATTAGTTTTTGCGGATACTAAGCAACTGAAGGAACTTGGGAACGGACCTACCCGAAGAAGCCCCTTTTCTAGGTGTGCCCGTTGGGAATTTGAAGCGCTCCTTCCGCAGGACGCGCAATCACTTCACTTGCTACAGTTTATTAGCCCACTACAAGGCGTTTGTCGAATTACATTCATACACCATCATATCGAAGTTCTCTTTTTGCTACAAAAACAATCTTGGTACAGGAAAAAGGTGAAGTATCAAAAGAAGCGTTTTGAATATTTTGGTGTAAGATGATAATTGCTTATCAAAGCCATTAATGGGGAACATGAGCAATGTAGATACTCCACCAACAAGAAAACATTACATACCTACCAAACTACTATTACCCCAGAGAACATGGGCAATGGAAGCAACAAGAAAGGTTCCATGCTACTACCCACCGTCCCTTGGAACATAGCCTTCAATAATGGAATTATTAGCAAGCTTAGCTTCCAGCACGGTCTGGTTTCCCCGAATAACACGGCCATTCTTGACGAACGTCACCCCGCCTTCAGGTAAATGCAGTCGCTGGCAGAAGAGTGCAAACATGTTTTTCAGAGGAGCTGTAGTATTGATCTCATATGTCACCTCGTTGTTGCCCATCCGCACCTTGACCCGTCTGGTTTCTTGCTCCTGAACCTCCTGAATTTTCCTCTCTTCATTCTCCGCTGTCTTCTCATGAGACCTCAAGGACCAGCGACCAGCAGCTCTACTGCCGCTGCCAGTAAACTCTTCCCCTGCTGCTGCTGCTGGTGACGACTTCGTCTCCTCTGCTGCTTTGTCTTTCGCAGAAGCTGCTTGACTTTCCAGCGGTGGTGATCTTTCCACTTCTTCCACATCCTCGCCTCCTCCTCCATCTGCGCCAGGTTCTTCCCCCAACATCACGTTAACCGGCGCTTCCATAGGCTCATCTTTATCCAATAACTCCTCATCTTCCTGTATGCCTTCACGCTCAAAATCCGCTTCTGTTATTGGGATCTCTCTTCTCGTACCCTTCTTCCACGCCTCTTCGCCCAAATCCCGGCGTGCGGACGTGTCAACGAGCGAAGGGAGATCATCTGCCACGTCAGCAGCAGCGCCAAGAGCACGAACGCCTCCAGTCACAGGAACACCAGTGGCAATTGCTTCCGCTGCAGCAAACGCCGCATCCACCACGGCTGCAGGAAGCCCCCGGGTACTGGACGGAGTGGTCGCAGCAGTTTCGGAACCTGAAACGGCCTCAGCTGTCGTGACGCTCACTTCGGTCGATTCCAGAACCACCGACGGTGGCTGCTGTGTTGCCTGTCGATGCTCGACTCTTCCTCCTCTTCCCCTCGCTGAAATCCCACGGCCTCTGCCAGGCTGTGCATAGTGGATCGCAGGCCGTGGCCTCAGAGACCTGGTTATTGTTCGGGTGGTTCGGACTTGGATTCTTGCGGAAGCTTTCCCTCGAACCATGGCGACAGATGCGCTAAGTAAACACGGCGTCGTTGGCGGCTGATATCAAGAAATCACGAACTCGTTTCATCTAAAGGTTGTAAGTCAAGCAGTACCATTTGCACGCGCACATACTGGAAAGGTGTTGTTATAGAACGGATGGTAACCAGGGCAGTCACCCTGGACTCGCTGACGGCCATTCCTCAAACCCTCGTCTCCAGAAAGGTGCACTTCTCGCTGACGTCCCAGTCCGGGTATCTCGGGACGCCATGAGCACTGGTTTGTGAGGGAGCACGAAAGGACACGTGGGGATTCGAGGAAAGGAAGGAGGTGCAGCGGGGCGTGCGTTCGAGCATGCATCACCTGGGTGACTCTTTGCTCAAGTGCGCGAAGCAAATCGAGATTTGAGAAATGGTGCCTGTGTGGTGAGAAAGACCCTTCGTGCAATACAAGATTATATCGTGTATGTCTGCGCATGTATAACGTGGCAATTCACAATGGCATAGGCTGCAAACGACAATGTATAACTGGAATATTTTCTCAAAATACATTTGATGAGATACAGGGTGGTACATGGACAGCAATGTTGAGCATGTTTTACCAAAACTCCCTTGTTTAGATAGCACACTGTGTTTTTGGCACTTTCTGACGTCTTGTAGTAGGTCGTGGTGCATTTGATGATGCCAAGTTGATTGAGTTGGGTTGGATGGCCCAAGTTCACAGGTTCATGTCACTCAACTTTGTCAGACACCACTACACGCTCACTAGATTCTTTTTCAGGAGATTCACCAACCTGAACCTCACTAGCCTCCTCATCCCGGAGGGCCTTGCGTAGGCCGAACACAATCAGGAGGTTTGTGATTGTAAGCAAGGACTCCGCACTGCCGTGTAGATAGTCTACATTAGATAGAGATGTCCCATAGTGAATTTTGGCTGCATGGAAGGACACATTCAAACAGGCATCACAGAATGGCGCATGGTTAACGCACAACATGGCAACAGGATTACACCATTCTGTAATCCTTGCAATAGATATGCATGGCGTCCATACGCTACGGTACTGCAAGATAGCCCACTCATGAAGACGAAAAACGAACAAAGATAAGTTAATTTACACGGCCACTTCCATGTATTAGCGACTACACACAAAGGAGGGCAACAGGACCAAGGTGTGGCCTTATACGGAGTGGAGAGGAGCTCACCATATATTCCGGCAGGAACTGTCATAGGAGAAAAAAGGTTTCGTGATCATACTTGGGGTGGGAGGGAGGGAGGAGCGGGAGGGGGGTGGGAGGGGGGTGGGAGAGGGGGGAAGAGGGGGGAGGAGTGAGAGTGGGGGGGAGAGGGGGGGAGGAGTGGGAGTGGGGGGGAGAGGGGGGGAGGAGTGGGAGTGGGGGGGAGAGAGGGGGAGGAGTGGGAGTGGGGGGGAGAGGGGGGAAGTAAGGTTTGTTAAAAACAAAAACGAGATTTTAGTGGCAAGTGATAAGAGAAAGTGAAGGAAAGTGTGGGACAGAGGAAGCGAGAAAGGACGGTGAAGCAACAGGGAGTACGGGATTGAGGCATTCGAGGAGGGAGGGTATGGACGGTGGGCAAAAGGTGCAGGAGAGAAGGGCGGAGGGAAATTGAGTCGGGAGGGAGAAAAGATAGAGTGACGGGGGTGGGTGAGAGGGAAGAAAAGAGGGAGATATGATGTTCACTTGTGGCATGGTAATTGCACGGTCAGACGATGCGGGGGAAATGACGTGTGAAATCGAGGCATGCCAGATTGACAATTGAACAGAACATAGGATGCCAATACAGCTCATAAGCCCCTACCAGCGCACTCACTAGTAACACTGACGAATGCGGGAAATTCTATAACGTCCTACACATGCCGCTCATATGTGCCTACACTTACTCGTGCTGCCTAAGAATGCGAGCAAAAGGTAGATTTAATGAAGCATGCCGCTACAGCTCCCAGTACGTGCGCACTCACTCGTGGCACCGACGAATGCGAGCAGGAAGTAGAACCCGAACAGCGTGATGCGCGGCGCCGTCCCAGATCGCGTGAGGAAGTAGAGGAATCCGAGGTACGGGAAGAGCGACACGGCGAACAGCGACGACGCGATGCTCTGGGAGTCGACGTTGGGCGACCAGGGATCCACCGGGAGCAGAAACGCGCGGGAAACGACGGCTCCGCGCCGCTTGCACTCCGCGCTACGGGAATATTCCGAAACGTTGCTAGTCTGGTGACTCTGCCCGGGCGCTGGACTAAGGAGCGGTACTCTCGAGAAACGGGTGACGCGCTGAGAGGTTCCGAGCGGTGAGGCGCGAGGCCGGGTTAAGAGGGGAGATGGGGGAGAGTCATGCCGGGTTGCTGCAAAAGCGGTGATTGGAATCCTGGACGGCAATGCCGCGCGAGGCGAGGGGGAGCAGGCGGAACGGGGAATGCGGGTGGGGGAAAAGGCGCTTAAAGAAGAGTATTTGGCCGGTGACCGGGCCAGGAGCGTGCTTTCAGCCATGGCGAAGCGGGGCCTTCACACCAGACGGGCCTAGCCTCCTCAGGAGAGAGAGGATTGCAGCTGAGGAAACTGAGCAAAGGTGCGCTGGGCTGCTGTCGTGGAATGCCGGAGTTGAAGCAGGAGTGGGCAGAGAAGAGGGATTGAGATTGCGTGGGGAACTTGTATCGACGTTCTGCATTGAGGTGTAGTGAAGGGCAACAATCGGGTGATTTTCTGGCGAGTACAAAATCTAGCAGCAAACCAGTCCCCTTCTCCCACACCTCCCGTTCCTCCCATTCAAGTCGCGTGCGATTGACGGATCCTCGAAGCATGACACAGCTGCACAAGTCAGCGGATCAGAGCGCCAGGGGTCGGTTCGCTAGGGCGAAGCGCTAGGCTTCAGTGCTTGACTCGTGCCACCAGCTGAGGAATGCGGCTGCTTTCTTTTTTACAAAGAAGAAGTCAGTGGTCAGAGATCCACGCAGATCGCTCAGAGTCGAGCAAGCGTGATTGCCGCGAGACTCTAATTGGCAGGCATTTGGTCGAGCCGGAGCACTGTTGTAAACCTTCTTGAGTCGCCAGTTCGGGTAAAGCCCTCTGTCATGGACGGCGAATCCAGATCGCCTCTCTTCTACCGACACGTGGCAGCAGGAGCTGTTTCAGCCGTGGTGGCGAGCGCCCTCACATACCCTCTCGATGTCGCGAAGACCGTCGCGCAGGCGGGTGTCGCACAGGCCAGCGTCGCACACGCGGTTGTCGCACAGACAGGCGCCGTGCAGGGCAGTACGATCGCGGGGGGACCAGGCGGAGGATCTTCTGGTGGACTGGCGAGAAGCGGAACAGCAGCAGCCTCAAGAGCAGCTGCTACCAGCGGTCTCAACTGGAGAAGTAGAGGTACCACTCCAACCCTCAATGCCTTCATGTTTCCATCCCCCATTTTCCCTTGTCCCTCCCTCCCCTTCTCCCCTACTCCCCTTCTCTCCATTCTCTCACCATCCTCCCCTTCTCCACCCCATTCCCTCCCTCTTATCCCTTAGTCTCCGCCCTTTCTCAGCGGTCCAGTTCTGTCTTCATCATGCGAGTTGCTAGAGTGAAGCAACACCGATGGAAGGCAAAGGCGCCTGAAGGAGAAGGCTCTACGCATTCGTCCGCCTGAGTTTTCTGCCTCTGCTCTTTCCATCGTCCACTCTCCCTGCCAGCCGCGTTCACGGGGTTTTCACCGCATATCGCGGGGCATCTGCCATCGCTAGCAGCCCGCTACACCACCTACCATCTTGCCGCCGCCTACCAAATGGGTGAGTCCACCTTCCTTCCTTCCTGCCTTGCCATTCACCTCGCGTTCTCCTCGTGGTCTTCTAGTTCATCAAGCAAGTCAACTCACTCAGCACGGGTACGGTTCAATGCGGTTGAGCATAATGCTGTCTTTTCCCCCCTTGAGCAGCAGCAGCCTGTTCCTTTGTTAACTTGTCCTCTTCCGTCCCCTCCTTCCCCTCTTTTTACCCCGATGGTCTGCCCTCTTGGCTCCCCATCTCCCCGCCTCAAGCACCAGCAGCAGCAGCAGGTGCATAGCCGGGGTGTCAGAGTCCTTGCTCTTCACGCCTGGTCGTTGTTTTAATAATTTTCGTCATAACCCTTCCTATTCCCCTTCACTCCCCCCCTCGCCTTCCCCCCACCCCCCCCCAACCCAGATGGTCTGCCCTCTTGGCTCCCCATCTCCCCGCTTCAAGCAGCAGCAGCAGGAGCCATTGCAGGAGCGACAGAGTCTCTGCTCTACATGCTTCACCTGAAACTTTGCTGTTTCTGCTGTCCCCATTCGTATCCCCTTTCTCTTCCCCCCCCACTCCCCATTCCCCCCGCACAATCCAGATGGTCTGCCTTCTTGGCTGCCCATCTCCCCACCTCAAGCAGCATTAGCAGGAGCCATAGCCGGGGCGACAGAGTCCCTGCTCTCCACACCATTCGACCTCCTCAGAACCCGCCTGCTGCTCGCCACTCCCCTGCTGCCACCTGTCCCGCCCTCCCACCCCATCTCCCTCCCCAGCCCTTCCATCCGCATCCACCGCCCCTCGACTCCTTCCCAACCAACCTCTTCTTCTTTAGGCAAGCCCTCCCCCAGCGAAACCTCCCCCAACCATACCTCCTCTGGTCAATCCGCCACCATCAATCAATCTTCCAACCCCAGTCAGAAGTCACGGACTGGCTCCTCTCTTCCCAAGCACAAGCTGCCCCATCCGCACACACACAGACAGACCAACTCTCGACCTAACCGCCCTCACCGCACAACTCACAAGCGCACATTCGTTTCCTCCTCCTCGCCTCCTCCCACCGTCCTCACCTCCACTCAAGCCCTACACCAGAGGCACTTCTCTGCAGCCTTGCGTGGCCCTACCACCCCCCCTCCCCCTAACCCCCCACCGCCCACCACCTTTTCCCTCTCCCTCGCCCGCTACCCCTGGACACCGGTCCCGTCGCCCTACCTCCCTGCCTCGTCCCCGTGGGAAGCCGCAAGGGCTGGAGTGAGGGCGGAGGGGGCAGCTCAGCTGTGGCGAGGGCTTCGAGCTGGCGTGACTCGGGACTCGCTTTTCGGAGCGGTGTTCTTTGGAGGGTGGGTGACTATAGAGGAGGGATTGAGGGAACTGGAGGAGCTTCAGAGGAGGAAGAGTGAGAGGGATGGGGAGGAGGAGCAGGAAAGGACGGAGGGAGGAGGAGTGGGTGGTGGAGACATGGGGAGGGGGAGTGTGGGGAATGGGTATTGGTATGCGTTGACGCAAGGGTTGGAAGCGGCAGTGGCAGCAGCGGTGGCGTCGGTGGTGTCGCATCCGTTTGACTGTGCCAAGACCCGCACTCAAGCCACTGTCTTGCCTAAGGTAAACGTTTGCTGGCCTTTCTTCTCTAATTGCTTGCTTGCAGTCCACGCTTGTATCCGTCGATTGCTTTGCTCCACTGTGTGCTTGTATCCATACTTACATTTCTTGAGCGTGTTGTGCGCCCTTTCTGTGAATTCACCCAGCACGTGGCAATGGAGTTGGCACTGGTGCGCAGGGGGAAGGATGGGAGGTGGTGGGAGAGGTTGTCTGGCTTGCGATGGTGGGATCGAAGCTACCACTGGCAAGGCTGGGCTTTGCGAACCATGCATCAATCGATAGGGGCTTTTCTTCTAGTAGGTGGTTACCATGTTGCAGTTGCGTTGACGAACGTTTCTTCCGAGTAATGGCCCACCAAGATGTTGCCATTCAGTTTGACCCTTAGCATTTGAAGCCCCAGGGTTGAGCTGTTAGAAAACACACTAGGTTGGTTCCACTTCAGAGATTTGCTGCTCTATATCGAAGCAGCCAAAATCGAGGACCAGAAGTCCGAGTTGTGCCTTTTCTCTTCAACCTCCTGCCCATAAATCCGAGCCGCTGCAAGCGACGTTTCCCGACCATTAGGGTGAGCGGGATCTGCGGCCCAGATTCGTCAGGCTTTCAGTCGCCGCAGCATTACGCTGGTCAAGAACAGACTCGCACCGCCTATAATTTGAATCGGAATTCGCAGTCATTAGCGCTTCCTTCCAGTCCTAGGACCATAAGCCGAAGTTTCAGCCGTAGGATTTTACTCATAGTGTCGTTTCAAATTCAAACAGATCAAGGAGCTCTACGAATATATTCGACGGATCAAATCAACGCGATTGACGAGTAGAAGTGACGTGTGGAGTGACGAAGGTATTGGCGAAGCGAGTGGCGATGGAGGCACTCGAGAAGGTGGTAACTCAGGCGCAGGGCCTGTCGGGCAGCGCGAGCGACCTGGCGCACCTGCTGGAGGTGCTGCGCGGCGCGGAGGACGCGCTCGCGAAGCACGCGCCGCAGCTCGACACGCTGCTCGCGTCGCTCGATCCTGCGCTGCACTCTCTCGCCTTCCTGTTCTTCCTGTGAGTCTGTGGGGGAAGGGTGGGGAGGGGATTTGGGCGGATTGGGGGGGGAAAGCGTGGGAGGGGGAAGTGGGGAAGTGAGCGGGTGAATTGGTGGGAAAGGGGAAGGGGGGAAAGGGGAGAGACCCCGTGCTGGTGGAAAAAGGGGAGCGACCTGGCGCACCTGCTGGAGGTGCTGCGCGGCGCGGAGGACGCGCTCGCGAAGCACGCGCCGCAGCTCGACACGCTGCTCGCGTCGCTTGATCCCGCCTTGCACTCGCTTGCCTTCCTCTTCTTTCTGTGAGTCTGTGGGGGGAGGGTGGGGGGAAAAGGGAAATGTGCGAATTGGGGGGGGGGGGGAGGAGGGTGGAGAGGGGAGGGGGGAAGGAGGGAAGAGAGAGGGGAAGATCCTGCGCCGCACTCTCTCGCCTTCCTCTTCTTCCTGTGAGCGCGCTTTCCTGGGGGGAAGAAAAGGAGCAGGGGGGAAGTGAGGGGGGGAGGAAGGAAGTGAAAAGGAAAGAGGTTGGACGGAAGTAGTCTTATGATGCGCCGCATGGGTGTAGTATTCGCATCGCTTTCTCCCTTCTCTCTCCCCTCCTTCCTTGCTTTCCAACCCCTTCACCCCCCACGCCCTCTTCTCTCACCCTCCCCCTGCAGTGATGCGCATGCAGCGCAGGCACCGGGCGCGTTGTGGGAGCAGGTGGTGGGGACGATCATCAACTTCATCAAAGTGGCATCTCCCACCCAGCTCGCGCTCGCACCTGAAAAGTGTGAGTTGCTTAGCGAGAAGATCGCTCGTGTGCCCCAACAGCCACATGCAGTGCAGTCCCTTGGGAATTTTATTAGGGGGCTAGGGGAGCAGCGCAGGAACCACCAGGTAGGCGAGTTGTGGGAGCAGGTGGTGGGGGCGATCATCAACTTCATCAAAGTGGCTTCCCCGACTCAACTCGCCCTCGCGCCTGAAAAGTGTGAGTTGCAGTGGGCTCACTAGTTGTCTGTGGGAGCAGCACCCCCATTAGGCACCGGGCGGGCGCGTTGTGGGAGCAGGTGGTGGGGACGATCATCAACTTCATCAAAGCGGCTTCTCCCACTCAGCTCGCGCTCGCGCCTGAAAAGTGTAAGAGCATGCACCTGTGCAGCAAAGCCGCATGCAGCACACTGCACCTGGGTAGTTGAGTTGTGGGAGCAGGTGGTGGGGGTGATCATGAAATTAAAAAAAGTGGCCTCGCCCACTCAGGTCTCCCTCACGCCTGAAAAGTGTGAGTTGCTTGCAATCCGACTCCCCTTTCCAAGTCAAATCAAACCAAGCGGCCCTCCTTCCCCACTCCCAAACCTCCCCTCCCCCTCCTCTTCCCCCGGTCTCTCCCAGTCTCCTCCCTGTGCCATCACCTGCTCGATCTACTCGTCTCCCACTCGCAGTACTGCCGGGGGGTTCTCCCTCTACGCTGGGCAACCAGCAAGCTGCAGCGCAGCAGCAGCGCGGAGCACCTCACACCCCAACACGCGGGCAGCCTGCAGCTCTGATCTGACTGCTCATTTTAGCCCCTCTCTTCACACTCCGCCCGATCCTTCCCCTCCGCTCTTCTCCCCCTTTTCTTCTCCCCACCTCCCCCCTCCTCCCTCCCCCACCCCTCGCGATTTACTCATCGCACACACCCAGTACTCCCGGGGAGTGCTCCCCTTGCGGTGGGCGATCAGCAAGGTGCAGCAGAGCACCACCGCGGAGCACCTCACCCCGCAACACGCGGACTGCCTGCAGCTCTGCCTGCTCCATTCATCCCTCACCTCCTTTCACTGCTGGCCAAGCTGTACCGCCAGAGAGGGTAGCTTCTCATCTCTCACCTTCTCTGTTCTCCCCCTCCCACGCTCCCTCCCCCCCCCCCCCCCCCCCCCACGCCTCCCAGTCGCCACCCTGTGCCATCGCCTGCGAGACCAGCTCATCTCCCACTCCCAGTACGCTCGAGGCGTCCTGCCTCTACGGTGGGCGATCAGCAAGGTGCAGCAGTGCACCACAGCGGAGCACCTCACCCCGCAACACGCCGACTGCCTGCAGCTCTGCCTGCTCGCCAAGCTGTACCGCCAGGGAGGGGACCTGCTGCAGGGGGATATTCTCGATATTGACCCCAAGAAGACGGGGCTGGTGCACCGGGACTTTCTTCTGTACTGCTTCTACGGGTGAGCTTCTTGAATGGATTGAGATTCTTGTGCTGCTACAAATAATGTTTGTTTGTTTTTTGTTTTTTTGGGAGGGGACGGTGGGGGGTTCATGACCAGCATTCTCTTCCTCCTCTCCCACTGTCAGCTTCTTCCTTGCTCTATCGCTTGTCTGTCCTCGTTCCCCCTCCTCTTTGTCCGCCCCCTCCCTTCACACAACCCCTCCTGCCCCACTCCCTGCAGAGGTACCATCTACGTGGGTCTGAAGCAGTATCAGAAGGCCCTAGACCTCTTCATGCATGTGAGTGGGGTTCGATCGATGGATGCGTATGAGCGTGGATGTTCATACATGAGTGCGGTTTGACGCTCTTGAGTGCGGTTTGACGCATTTGAGTGTGGTCAGAGGCACCATCTATGTGGGTCGGAAGCAGTATCAGAAGGCTCTAGACCTCTTCATGCATGTGAGTGGTGTCTCATTGAGCATGGTTCGACGGCCTTGCAGACAGCATGTGTGAGTGGGGTCTCATGCATGTGTGACGCTCAGCAACTGCTGTTAAATAGGGAAGCAACTGCCATTTCCAGATCCCTTCCTGCCTGGAGTCTTTCTGTACCAATTGGGTCTGTATCTCACCACTTTAGATCCCCACTCCAGGCATCCTTCACAAAAGAAGGAGGATCCATCTTTTTTTCGTCTATCTATCCAGCTATCTGTCTATCTATTTATCCGTCTATCTTTCAGTCTGGTGGCCTATTCATCCCAGCCGTTCATCTCCCCTATGCGATCCCTCTCGTGCACTGTCGAAACCCCACCTCCCTGCCTCTCCCCGCCTCCCCCATTCCCTTTCCCCGCTCTTCCCTTCCCACCCAACCTCCCACCTATTTTCAGACCCTCACATCCCCACGCACAGGGCGTGAATGCCATCACAGTGGCCCGCCCTCCCTCTCCTCCCTTCTTTGAACCTCCTTTCTCCCTCAATCTCCCCCACCTCCCAACCAATCCCCCCCCTATTGCCAGGCCATCACATCCCCAGCACAAGTTGTGAATGCCATCACAGTATCGGCATACAAAAGACATGTGCTCGTGTCGCTCATCCTGAACGCCCAGGTGTGTGGAGCGGTGAGGTGCGGTGGGGTGCAGTATGGTGAGGTATGGTGTGGTGTTCTTTGCTGCGGTGTGATGCCATCTCCTCCGTCCCCCATGAATCCCATCACAGTGGCGGCATACAAGAGACATGTGCTCCTGTCGCTCATACTGAATGCCCAGGTGGGTACAGTGTGGCACATTGCGGTGCAGTGCGGTGTGGTGTGGTGTGGTGTGGTGTGGTGTGGTGTGCTGCCATCTCCTGCTCGCCCGGGGAATGCCGTCACAGTGGCAACATACAAGAGGCACATGCTCGTGTCGCTCATCCTGCACGCACAGGTGTGTGATGCGGTGGCGTGCGGTGTGGTGTGTGCCTTGTTTGTTGTGCTAGCAAGGGTGCTGTATCAGCAAGGAGGCTTTGAGCTAGTTCTAGTAGTTAATTCATTCTTGCTGTTTATTAGTGGAATGGTGCAGAACAACACTCTTCCTTCCGTTCTCCATCCCTCCCGCCGTTTCTTTTGCTCCCTATTCTCGCTCCCTTCCCTCGCTCCCTCCCCTCATGGTGCCATGAGAGCAGCTGTCGCCTGTACCCAAGTTCACTCCAGGCATCGTGCAGAGAGGGCTAGAACAACTCCCTTTCTCCATCCCTTCCTTTGCTCCCTCATTTACTCCTTCCCTCGCTCCCACTCCCCACGGTCTCATGAGAGCAGCTGTTGCCTCTACCCAAGTTCACGCCAGGCATCGTGCAGAGAGGACTCAAGGCATGCTGCCAGGTGGGTGAGAGAGGGCACATGTGCGTATTCATTCACATTCTGCTGACACAATGCTTTTTTGTTGTTGTGTATTCTGACTGGTGTGATCTGGTTGCATCAGCCCACAACCCCTCCACCCACAGGACTCTCGTGACCTGGCTTTAAGTCTCTCCCATTCTCCACGAGTCCTCCTTCTGCAATCCGTTGCCCACCCCTCTCCACCCCTCTCCATCCCTCTCCATCCCTCTTCACCCCTCCCAGGACTATCACGACCTGGCGAACATCTACGTGTCTCGCGATGCAGCAGAGCTCAAGAAGTTTGTCGATTCCCACGAGCAAGCCTTCAAGGCGGTGAGTGAGTGGGAGGCGTCAAGGCGGTGAGTGGGTGCTCGCACCAACGCGCTCAGCTGTTGTGTGTGTGCCCTGCCATGCCACCAGCACTCAGGGCTCTCAAGAAGTTTGTCGACTCGCACGAGCACGTCTTCAGGGCGGTAAGTGGGAGGCGTCAAGGCGGTGAGTGGGAGCTTTCAAGGCAGTGAGTGGGAGCTTTCAAGGCAGTGAGTGGGTGCTCGCACCAACACACTGTGCTGCACTATCCACGAGAATTCAGCTTATCGCACTGCATCCATCACTCCCAATCTCTCCTCGCACACCCTTATTCTCTCCCCTTCTCTCTCCTCCCCTCCCCTTCTCCCCGTTCCCTTTCACTTCCCAGGACAACAACCTAGGCTTGGCCCATCAGGTTGTTGCATCGGTCCCCAAGCGCAGCATTCAGCGTCTCACGCACACCTACCTCACTCTCTCGCTCTCCGACCTTGCTCAGTCGGTGCACCTGTCCTCGCCTGCCGAGGCTGAGAAATACCTCCTTTCCATGGTGAGACAAAAATAATCACTTCCAAAAAAAAAAAAAAAAAAAAAACCTAACTGCCTTCCTTCTCCAAGTCATGGTACCATGAGGTCTCTCCATGAGGTCTCTCCATGAGGTCTCTCCATGAGGTCTCTCCATGAGGTCTCTCCATGAGGTCTCTCCATGAGGTCTCTCCATGAGGTCTCTCCATGAGGTCTCTCCTGAGTCTTTTTTTTTCCCCGAGTGTCTCAAAAAAAATTCATGTGCCCCACTCCGGTCTGTCATGTATCATCCATAGCCTCAGGCCTGTAGCCCGTGAGGTAAACTGTTAAAGAACTCTTGCAAAGTATGATTGTGTGTGTCGCAGATAGCGGATGGGAAGATTTCTGCACGGATAGACCAGCAGGCAGGCGTGGTGAGCTTTGGAGTCAAGTGGAGGGCGTTGCATGTGTCTAAGCATATGTGGCTATGCACATGTACCTCCTTGTGCCTGGCAGATAGCAGATGGGGAGATGTTTGCACGGATAGACCAGCAGGCAGGCATGGTGAGCTTTGGAGTCAATTCAAAGGCCTCCTGTGTGACTCTTCACCTCTCGCTGTGTGCCTGGCAGATAGCAGATGGGGAGATGTTTGCGAGGATAGACCAGCAGGCGGGCATGGTGAGCTTTGAGGAGGACCCTGAGAAGTACGACTCGCTGGCCATGGCTGCTGTGGTGGAGGAGCACATCCAGAGGTAAGATGAAATTCATGAAGTTCGGTTTTTTTTTCTTTTCTTTTCTTTTCTTTTCTTTCTTTCAGATGTGAGAGGCACATTCAGATGCTCCCTCACAGTCGACACTCCATGTCCTTCTCACTTGTACTCTGAATTTTTTTTTCGCAGTAAAGTCTATGCTCTGCTGATCCAAAGTTGATGCACTGTTTTAATTTTATTGTTGTTGACCCATGGCTGATCCGATCCAATGTTGCTGCATGGGTGCTTCACTGTGAGTGTGCGTCCATGGTATCCCCATGAACCATGCGTGCTGCACTGTGAAGGTGCATCCGTTTTTCTTCATTAATGCTCCATTATGAGTGTGCAGGGCCATGAAGACTTCCAAGAAGCTGGCGTTTCTCCGCGAGCATGTCTCCTCAAACTGAACATTCCTCATATTTGAGAATTCTCACATGTGTCACAACCCTTTGTGCTGCACGTGTGAATGTGTGCAGGGCCACGAAGCTGTCCAAGAAGCTGGCGCTGGTCCATGAGCAGATCTCCTCTGACCGAACGTACCTCACACGGGTGTGTGCACACTGGTCACTGCTCAGCTCAGTACAGTACTCACGGCACACCAAACGCGTTGCACACTGCCCTCCGTTCTGTGTCAAGCCCTTTAATTGGCCACACAGTGCTTGTGTGCGCCGGTCCACACGTCACTCTCACCCACGGGCCTCCTCGATCCACACTTCATGTCTTTCTCTTCTTTATTACTCCCTATTTTCGCACGTTGTGGTTGATGGGTATCTTCCCATGGGTATCTCCCCATGCACGCGAGCGCAATGTTCGGTACGGGGAGCATGAGGACTATGAGCTTGCACCTCAACGAATGTTTGATACCATGTAGGACACAACCTTGAAGAACGGTAAAACTCGTTCAGGTTGCCACACCCTGAGTCTTGACAGCCAGAGGACCTCCTCGAAGGTTCTCTAAACGAAATCCATAAGCTTTTGCTTCTATACTAGATTCTATGTGACTCCAGAAACATACACCCCCGTTTGTAAACATTTTAGTACCTTGGATAGTTCCATCCATAGCTCAATCTGAGGCAATGATTGAGTCAATCTTACCTTCCTCAGTTGGTAATGCTTCTCTTGTGACAATAGATACTGGTACTATAACAATATGTTTTGATACAATATAGTTGGACGTCTGCTGCATAGATTATCATGCCGCTCAGTGTAGTGATCAAACAATGCCATCAAATCCAACTGTACTTCCCAGAATTTTACTGTACTTCTGGGCTTCTGTTACGCGTGCAATGAATCGAAGTAGCGAGAATTGCACTAAGGTGTCAAACGAGTACAAAGATGTGAGCGAAGGCATGAGCGAACATTTATATGCGAAGCATGCAAACGGTAACGCGGTGCGTGCGAGCTAGCCAGTGCTATGCTGGCAGCGAGGCTCGGGCTAGTCCCGAAGCGTAGGCCGACACGGCCGGGCCAGCAGTGCGAGGTTTGGTGAAACAGTGCGCGCGAAGTCGGCGAAGTTCCGTTAGCAGTAACGGGCGAACAACGGCTGTTGCTGTACGCGATGTAGTCGGGCTCCGTAAGGAATGCCGAGAAAATTCCTTACACTACCCCCCCCCCCCTCACGAAGCCCCCTCCGCTACGCGAGTGCGTGTATGTCGCGGAATCCCCGGCTCCTCAGGTACACTTGCAGGGCAGGGTGGTTTTCAATGTTGGCCAGGGGCACCCAGCTATCCTCAGTTGGCGTGCGGTCCTTCCAGCGAACGAGGAATTCAATCCTCCTGATTCCCGTGGGGTGTCGAATCCGATGGCTCAGGATTTTTTCGGGCTCGATGATCGGCTCTGATGCAGGGCGAGTCATGGATGGCGGGCGGTGGCGAGGCAATTGGCTTGTGGTTGGGATGTATGGGCGAAGCAAGCTGACGTGGAACGAAGGGCTGATGTACCAGTCGGTCGGTAACAGTAGGTGTGCGGTTACTGGCGTGATCATGTGGCTGATTTGGAATGGGCCACAGTAGCGCGGTCGCAGTTTTGATACGTCGGGCAGTCGCAGGTTTTGCGTGTCGAGCAGTACGTAATCCCCTGACTGGTAGGTGACGGGTCGGCGGTGGCGGTCGGCGTTGCGCTTAGCGATGACATTTGCTTTTTTAATTGCTTCTGCAGCTCTGGTGCGGGCAGCTTGCAGAATTTCGGCGAATTGTTGTGCACGTGGTGTCGGATTGTCCGGACTCGGCGTCATGGGCACTGTAGGATTTTGCCCGTAGTTCAGGTAGAAGGGGGACTGTTGCGTCGTCGCTGACGTGGCGTTGTTGTACGCGAACTCGATCAGCGGCAGCTGCTGTTCCCAAGTCGTGGGGTCGTCGCACGTGGCACGAATCAACTGCTCCATCGTCTGATTCGTCCGCTCCGTTTGGCCGTCGGTCTCGGGGTGGTACGATGAACTGAACTGTAGCCTGGTCCCGAACTGCTCCCAGAGGTTTTTCCAGAAGTTGCTGGTAAACTTCGTGTCCCTGTCGCTGATAATCGCTGCTGGTATCCCGTGCAGGCGAACAACGGCTGCGATGAACAGACGAGCGGTCTCCTCGGCTGAGATCGACTTTTTGCACGCAGCGAAGTGTGCCATCTTCGTCAGCCTGTCAACGACGACCATCACCGCGTCGTTACCCCCAGGGTTCGAAGGTAACCCTGTGACGAAGTCCATGGTAACCTGCTGCCAGGCGCGCTCGGGCGGTGGTATCGGCTGCAATTGACCCGCCTTCCGCTTCCTCGAGCTCTTCATCACCTGACACGTGGGGCACGAGCCCACGTGCTGCTGTACGTCGGTCAACAGCTCCGGCCAGTAATAATACCGCTGCAGTTGCTGTCGCGTTTTTTCTACCCCAAAGTGTCCCGAGGTAATTCCGTCGTGTGCCTCCTGCAGTAGCAGCTCCCTCAGTAGTGAGTACGCAGGTACCCAGATGCGGTTGGTGCCTGTTTTTACGTAATAAACTCCTTTAGCTTCTGCCAGTTGCTGTGAGTTTCCAGTCGTGAAAAATGGGTCGGTGCGGTATCCGTGGGTGAATAGGCCTGTTAACAGCGGGTTGGTCTGGGCGAGTAGGATGGCGTGGAGTTGGGCGGTAGGGCGGGTGAGTGCGTCGGCGATGTTGGATGCGCCTTTCTTGTACGTAACCGTGTAGTGGAAGTTGGACTCAAGGTAGTCCAGCCAGCGAATTTGTCGCGGATTGAGATTTGGTTGGGCGCGTAAGTACTGTAGTGATCGGTGGTCTGTCCGTACTGTCACGTCGGCGCCAGTCAGGTAACACCGCCAAACCTTGAACGCGTGCACGATCGCCAACATTTCGCGGTCGTGTATCGGGTAGTTGCGTTCGGGCGGGTGCAGTTTGCGGGACTCGTACGCGATTGGCTGGAGGCCGTTCCCGAAATCCTGCAACAGTACTGCTCCCACAGCGATGTCACTTGCGTCAGTGACGAGCTCGAACGGACGGTGTGGATCGGCGATGTGAAGCACGGGCGGTGAGCACAAAATGTTTTTGAGGGCCGAGAAGGCAGCTTGCTCTTTCTCCCCCCACGTGTACTCAACCCCCTTCCTCAGCAGGTCAGTCAACGGGGCAGTCAGCTTCGCCATGTCGGGGAAGAACCGGCGCACGTAGTTGACGAACCCCAGAAAACTCTGCAACCCTGTCAAGTTGGTCGGCGCGTGCCACGCCTGAATCGTCGCAATTTTCTTCGGGTCTATTTCCACTCCTGCGGCTGAAATAACGTGTCCCAAAAACTCCAGACGGTCCTGTAAAAATTCACACTTAGACGCTTTTGTCAATAGGCGGTTCTCACTCAGTATTTTAAAAACTGCTTCGATGTCCTGTAAGTGCTGTGCTCTGTCAGGGCTGTAAATCAGTATGTCGTCCAGGTATACTATGGCGCACTTATCTAAGAGTGGGCGGAAAGCTTCGTTCATGGTCATTTGGAAAGTGGCGGGGGCGTTGGTCAGTCCGAAGGGCATGACGGTGTATTCGAAGGATCCGTAGCGTGTTCGGAATGCGGTTTTAGGGCGGTCGGGCGGATTGACACGAATCTGATGGTAACCCCCCCGGAGGTCGATTTTCGAGAAAACCCGGGCTGTGCGCAGTTGGTCGATCAGTTCGTCGGCTCGTGGGATGGGGTAACGGGATTTGATGGTAACCCTGTTCAGTGCTCTGTAATCGATGCACATGCGAAATCCCCCGTCTTTTTTTCGGTGTAAACAGTATCGGTGCTGCGAAAGGCGACGAACTAGGGCGAATGAACTCCTTCTCGAGCAGGTAATCGAGCTGCTTCCTCAGTTCGTCCAGTTCGGGCTGGGTCAGTCGGAACTGTCGCTGTACTGTTGGCTGTGCCCCCGGTTCCAATTCTATTCTATGATCGTGCGGTTGCTGAGGTGGCAGTCCCGTCGGTAAGTCGTCCGGGAAAATGTCGCTGTACTGCTTCAACAGTGCTGCCAGGTCACTCGGTACGTCGGTCAGCAGTTTCTGCAAATCCCCTCCCTTGTCTGCTGCCTCGGCTTCCCGAATGTCGACCGCGTACACGTCAGCTCCCGCCGCTACGGCGCGTTTCATCGTGATCGCGTTGACACGCACCGACGAAGAGTCAGGCGAGCCCCAGCGAGGTAGGGCGATGTGGTTACCGTTCACTCGCACGGTGCAGTCACCCGTCGTCCAGTCGATTCGCGGATTGTGTCGTCGCAAGCAATCACGCCCGAGTAAAATATCGGTTCCGTCGAGGGTCGTTGCGAGCATTTCTTGGCTAAATGTGAAGTTACCCCCGCATCGAATCCGAACCCGGTCTACGCGTTCCCGTATTGCCAGCGGCGTGCCGTCTACCAGTCGTGCGTTTTTCTCGTATTTCTCAGGTAAACATCTGTCCAGTGGCAGTCGCAGTTTTCGTGCTGTAGCAGTGTTGCTGAGGCTGTGGCTGGCTCCCCCGTCTACGAAGATTTTAACTAAGTCCGTCCCGATTTTCCCACTAAGCAGTATAGGGCTGTCTACCGTAGTACCCTCCTTATTCGGCCGGGTGTGGTCGATTGCGTGAACCGGCACAATCACTCGGTGAGGGTCGGTTGGGTCGGGCGAGCGGCGTGACCTGTCAGTAGAGGGCCCGTCTGCTACTGACTCCCAGCGTTTCCCTGCTGCTTGGTCTGTTTCTGCTGCTCAGCTTCCCCCTTTCCCTTAGCGTTTTCCGGGCATTCGCTCTTGCGGTGTCCCGGCCGATTACACGCGAAGCAGCGCCCTTTGAACGGTGCGGCAGCGGCATTCGCGGCGACGGCACGTATCGTGGCGCCCTCGTTCGTCCCACGAGACCGATGTCCCCAGTTGCTGCTACTGCCGTAGGACCCCGGTCTCGGTCGGCGGAAGAAGTCGAGCTTCTCCGCCATAGCGAGAATCTCCTGAAAATCGGTGACGCCGCGAAGCTGAATTTCTTGAGCGATGTCGTGCTTCAGGCCGCCGATGTAGCGGTCGATGCGCTCGCTCTCATGCATGTAGCCCACTTGCTCGCATAGCGCCAGAACCCGCTGGTGTAGTCCTGGACTGAACCGAGTTGGCGCCAAGTGCGGAGCTTCTGTCGCGCCGCGATCGAAGCCGCAATTGGCTCAAATCGAGCGCGCAGACCTGCGCACCACGCGTCCCACGTGCGATATTGGGGCACCTCCACGAAGTACGACGGCGCCCAGGGTCCGGTTTGTCCTTCCCGTGTCGGTAGAGTCGCGTAGTCATTCGGCTTCGTGACGATGACGCGCCACCAGTCCATGGCGGGTCCTCGCAGCAGCGACACGGCGTAGCGAATTTTCGCCGAATCCTCCGAGACGTAGTTGGCGTCGAAAAACACGTTCATCGTGAACAACCACGCCTGAACGGTAGGACCACCCCGTTGACTCGGGTCAAAGCATGGCGGACGCTGCGGCTTCAGCGGCATCGGTGACGGCAGTCCCGAATCGTGGGTCGGTGCCGAAATCGTGACGCGAGGTTGACTTGGGGCCGCATTCGTCGCTCCGGGGTGTGTCGTGCCGTGGTCGTCGTCTCCGTCGGGGCGGACGACGCCATCACTGGCCGCGCTCGCGGGTTGCCCCACACTTCCGTGCTGTGATGTCTGTGGTGCGGGCTGAATCGGAGTGCCAGGTGCTTGGGATTGTGCCCTTGTGAGGTCGTTTTGCAGGGACGAGCGTTCTGCCGTCAGCGTCGCAATTTCCTCGACGCTCTCGCGGATTTGTCGCAGCAGATCGTTCAAATGCTCCTGCGTGAGAGTCGTGACGTCGATGTGTTCGGCCATTTCGAAGGACGTCGGCTCGTCTTAGTCTAGGCGCAGTCGTGGCTGCACGCGTTTACGAGAGAACGCGAGGACAGCGGCTCCTAGGTGCTAAGGTACGTAAGTCCCTTCGAGTGAAAAATCAAAAGTTGATTTCCTGGGGTGCGGAGATGCGCGGTCCGAAAGAAAGGGGCTCTGATACCAAGTGTTACGGGTGCAATGAATCGAAGTAGCGAGAATTGCACTAAGGTGTCAAACGAGTACAAAGATGTGAGCGAAGGCATGAGCGAACATTTATATGCGAAGCATGCAAACGGTAACGCGGTGCGTGCGAGCTAGCCAGTGCTATGCTGGCAGCGAGGCTCGGGCTAGTCCCGAAGCGTAGGCCGACATGGCCGGGCCAGCAGTGCGAGGTTTGGTGAAACAGTGCGCGCGAAGTCGGCGAAGTTGTTGCTGTACGCGATGTAGTCAGGAATGCCGAGAAAATTCCTTACAGCTTCCTCTTATCAGCATGTGTGTTATATGACCAAATTCGTCGATGTCTCCGTACTCCTTGTGCATTCAATCACAGCAGCGATTCCCAAGGGATCGCCATCAAGCATGCCGAGTGCGGTTTCGCATTTCAAGGATCGAGTTGCAGGGTACTTCTTCACTCGAGTACAGCTTGCCTTTTCAAATTCGAGCAAGTGGCTCCTGCTCTTGCACTCTGAGTCGTGTCGGATTGCTGGAGGCACGACTGCAGAGAGTTATCATACCACCCAGGCAAGATGCTTCCGCGGGGAGCAGCCATCGTGCCTGTGGCGATAGTGTCCATCTGCGCTGTCGCCCTACTCATCCTTCATGGCCAACCTCTCCTCAGCCATCTCTTGGGTGACAATGGTCCGATGAAGAAGCACATCGACACTGCTAAGGGTCATCTGGTGGTAGCGATGGTCAAAGGAAGGGAGGCTCGCATCAATTTTCTCTCTCCTGTCTTGCAAATTCTTGTGGGAGTTACTGCATTCCTCTCGTCGCTGGTCGCTGCAGACCGTCTTTTCCACTTCTACGTCGCCTTGTACTGGAAGTTCTCCAAGAAACGCCCAGAGGAAGCCTTCGAAGCGAACAACTTGCCAGATCCAGCTACCTGTCCCGAGGCCTTTCCCAAAGTTGTTGTTCAGATTCCTATGTTCAACGAAAAAGAGGTGAGGGTATGCGCCACATCTGGTATTCCGAACGCATATCGCTTCTACGTCCCGCACTGTTTGACGTGCTCTGTTATGATTACCTTGCAGGTGTGCGAGCAAGTGATTGACTCATGTTGCAAGCTGATATGGCCGAGATCGCGCCTGTACATCCAGATATTGGACGATTCAACCTGCCCCATCACTCGCAGCAGGGTGGTTAAGAAAGGTATCAGATCACTTTTCTTTCTTCCGCATGTTTCCAGTCGCGCAGCATCATATCGACCCTTCTCTCCTTCCTTGCAGTGGCCGAAAAGGTAGCTCTTGGAATTCACGTGGAGGATCGCTGGAGATCCAATCGGCAAGGATATAAAGCTGGAGCAATGATTGAGGCTGAGAAGGCACTTGGAGATTACGAATTCACAGCTATATTTGATGCAGACTTCAGCCCAGAGCCTGAATTCCTTCTTAAGACAATTCCGTATCTCATTGTAAGTCCTCAGACGCGTTAGCTTTGTTTCTTTCCGGCCAAGTCTTACTGTATCGGCTACGGACAGGACAATCCGCGGGCTGCGTTTGTCCAAACACGCTGGGTGTTTGCCAATGCGGACGAGTCCGTCTTGACTCGAGTCCAAGAGATTTCACTTAATTATCACCTGAAGTGCGAACAGTATGCCAGATTTGCAACGGGCAACTTCTTCAATTTCAATGGTAGGTGACACATTGTCCGTTTCTCTCACGTGCCTCAGTAATTAATTATTGAGCGTTTTTTTGGCTGCAGGAACGGCTGGAGTATGGAGGCTCTCTGCAATCAAGGATGCAGGCGGCTGGAATAACAGGACAACTGTTGAGGATATGGATCTTTCTCTACGAGCTTACGTTAGAGGCTGGAAGTTTATATTCTTGAATGACGTAACGGTAAGCCAGCGTTCTTGCTCCACTCTATTTTCTGTGGTCTGAATGGTCTCACTGACGTGCCCTCCCTCCCGTGCCATTGTCATGTGTGCAGTGTGTTAACGAGATTCCATCAACATATGCAGCTTTCAGGCACCAGCAGCACCGGTGGAGCTGTGGGCCAATGCAACTCTGGAGAAAAGCTATGGATCAAGTCTGGGAATCTGAGGTACGTAAATCAGCAGCGGCCAGTTGTTTATGTTGACCGCAGTTGTACTAACTGTGTTTGCCCCTGCTCAGATCCCACTTGTTCAAAAGATTTACCTGAATTGCTTCTTCTTTGGAACAAGGTTGTTCGCCACCCATATTGTGTCCTTTATATTCTACTGCACATTGGTACCGATCTGTGTGGTGGCTCCTGAAGTGACGATCCCATTTTGGGCTTTGGTTTATGTGCCCATCCTGGTGACTATCTCAACAGTGGCTTTCACTCCAAGGTAAGTGTCATAACCGCAACTGCTTTGCTCGTTTTCGTGTACGGTATAATGACAATCTTGGCTGCTGTCTTAGGTCGTGGCTGTACGCTGTGCCATTTGTTCTATTTGAGAATGCCATGAGCATTGTCAAGTTCTCCGCAATGGTCTCTGGAATCCTGGGCCTATCTACGGCTCATTCATGGGTTGTAACCCAGAAGCTTGGGAACTGGGTCCAGACTGATGCAGCAACTGCAAAGACAGGGCTGGCGAAGTATTTGGGAAAAGCTGGAGCCATTCCACATAGTCTGAGTCTCCCAGTCATTTCTGAAGGCCTGGTGAAGCAAGGAGCGGATAAAGCCCAGCCCAAGAATTCTAAGAGCTCTTGGTTCAACCGCACGTAAGTGAATGCTCCAAGAGCAGACATTGCTTCTCTTATCCACAATTTATCCTAATATTCTCATGTCTTCTTTCCTGCAGAATATACAAGAGGGAATTGGGTATGGCTGCCTTTATTTTCGGTGCGGGGATGTACGCGATCTTTGTGGAAGACCGCTGGGATTACTCTATCTTCCTCTTTCTCCAAAGCATTGCGTTCGCCATGTTTGGCTTGAACTTTGTGGACAGGATGAATTGATCCAGTTTCCATAGAACCTTAAATTCATTGGTACCGTAGTTTCTGTACTGAAGTGTTCTTGATAGGAAGTGTTGTACTGGTACATCATTTGCTAAAAAATAAGGCTAACATCAAATTATCATTACCGTACTTCATCTAACCAACTCTAGTCTCGCCACCTGTGCCCACAGTTGGGATTGCAGCACACACAAAAAAGTGTCATGCCTTCCTCCCCGCGACTTGTAGCCTGTAAGTGTTAGATTAGGAGAGGACTTAGGAGACTAGGGTATGGGGGCTTGCATGAATGTCGAGAAGGTTGAGCAAAGAAGAGGGGTTCACTATAGAGTTGGAAGTACAAGTAGGCAAGAGCAAAGGGATAGGGTGCACCACCAACGGTTGATTCTAATAGCTAACTAATACACTAGCAAGCTGTAGACAGTTATAAGATATATAATTCAACACACCCCCGTAACTGCCTACGGCTTTAGCTAGTGGTGTCTGGCACCAGGTCGCCTGGAGAGTGGTTGCTGTAGCTGGGATAGGCACAGAAACAGCGGTGGCTGACCGGCAGCACCTGTGAAAGCCAGAACGGAGGAGGGCGCGGAGAGCGCGGAGGAGGGCTGGGATAGCCGGAGGGCGAAGGATGCTGGTCGCTCGCCATCTACGAGCAAACACAACTGTTGGTGAGGAGGAGGAAGCTGCTGGTGGTGCACAGGAGGAGAGCAGAGGAGAGGCGGCTGGAAGAGAAGAGATAGGAGGAGGAGATGCGGCTGGAGGAGAGGAGAGGAGGAGGAGATGCGGCTGGAGGAGAGGAGAGGAGGAGGAGATGCGGCTGGAGGAGAGGAGAGGAGAGAGGAGGAGGCGGCTGGAGGAGAGGAGAGGAGGAGAGGAGAGGAGAGGAGAGGAGGAGGATGATTGGCGGCGGCTCTGGGTATGCTCGTCACCCCTTCACCCTCCCCCTCCCGCCACCCACTCACCCTTCCCCCCCACGGCTGCATCCGCGGAAGGGAGAGAGGGGGGGAGAGGGGCGGCGGTTGAGTTTGCAGAATCCTTCTCGCCACCCCCTTACCCTCCCCCCCACAGCCCGCCACCTCCACCTCCACCCCCGTGTCTCCCCACTGGCCGCCACCCCCACCACCTCGCGCTAACACGGCAGCAGTCGCTAGCGCGGCTGGCGCTGGCGGGAGCATGGGTGGGGGGAACGGGGAGCCGCGACAGAGGTCGCGCAGGGCGCGACGGGATGCCGCACCAGAGGCGCGGCAGGGAGCCGCGATGGGGGTCCGCGGCGAGCGTGACGGGGGGGCACGCACAGTTCGCCGCCATGACCGTTGCGACCGTCGCGACAGGTTCAGAGACTGACGCGCGACGGGGGGCGAAACGAGAGAGGCGCGACGGGGAAGCCATGAGAGAATGAACGGGTGGGCCCATTTAGGTCCGAGGAGCTTAGTAGCTCAATACCATGTTAGATTAGGAGAGGACTTAGGAGACTAGGGTATGGGGGCTTGCATGAATGTCGAGAAGGTTGAGCAAAGAAGAGGGGTTCACTATAGAGTTGGAAGTACAAGTAGGCAAGAGCAAAGGGATAGGGTGCACCACCAACGGTTGATTCTAATAGCTAACTAATACACTAGCAAGCTGTAGACAGTTATAAGATATATAATTCAACAGTAAGGGACACGTTCCGAGGAGAAAACAAACACAGATGAGAGAGAATTAACCAGCAATGTAGAGGAAGACTCTGATGCAAATTGAACCAAGGGCCAACATCATGGTGGGCTATACCTGAAAGAACACAGCCTCGCCATGGGCACATTTGGCACAGCGAACTGCCTTGGTGCGAGGAAGTGTGGGATCTGCTGTTACATCTTGCAGGATCTGCGTTCTCTCATCTGCAGTGTGATGCACTTCATTGCGATACACGCAATTGTTCTCTGCTGCCTCCTGTTTTTCAGCATAAGCATGAATGGAGGGTGAAGCTGGAGGATATGAAGTTGGAGGGAGGGTGACGCTGGAGTGACACAGCTAACAGGTAAATGAATCTAGAAACCCTCAGACTCCCCAGGCAAGGTCGCGGTCATGAAAGAAAAAAGGAGTGCTTCAAATAATGTACATGGACAAACCTGATGGTCACAGTTTCTGCATGCATACAGCAATACGCGGTTCTCTCTATCTTCTCTCGGATACAAAATGTTGTTACTGCATACCACATGGAGGTAGAAGAAACGACAAGGGCCGGGAAGGAGCAGGGGAGGGAGCGGCAGGGGGGAGGGGAAGGAGGGGAGGGAGGGGGATGGGGGAGGGACGAACAAGGTAGGGAGGTTACGGAGGAAAGAATTAGAAGCAGGGAAAAAGGGCATGGAGTGAGATATGGAACAGGGAGGGACGCATATAAGCAGTTCACATTTACGACATGAGATGTATCCGTCATGACCACCACGCGCATGTGTGTACGGCTGGCGTGCGCAGTTCGACGAGAAGGCGCATAGACGCGACTGACACGTCTCTATGGATATGAACGAACAGTGAGCATCGGGCGCAAGGGCATTTCAAGCAGTTGAGCTTCTCTGTGTACCGAAAGAGACGGCCGGGTAGCTAGGTGACGAGAACCCACCATTCGCGACAAAATTTCATCGCACTCATGGTGGCGAGGACGGTGGAAAGACTCGAACAACCGCAAGAAGCGACGGGCGCTGGCTGAACAGGAAAGTTCAAGCGGGCTGAGAAACAACAAGAGTTCGACTCTGAGCACGACGAATTGTCGACACGTAGAGCGCACTTGCGAATGAACGCTAAAATTGTTGATATTGTGGCTGTGAGGGGGAGTAATGAAGCCTAGACAAGTACGATGCTTTAGCGACGGCATTGTCGACTCTGTACGCGATACCGTAACTTGCCGATCGTTGTTATGCCATGCATTCAAGCGAACAACGATGCCATTGACAGTGCATTGATTTTCCGTATGATCAATCAAATGAGAAGAACATCAAGTATTTTTAGGGACATTTTGAAAAAAATGATTGTTCGTGGATTTGAACACAGTATAATACGGAGCGTTACACATTGCATTATCGACAGATTGAAAGGGGGCATGCACATCAAGCTAGGTAAGACCTTTTTTTTTCCTGGTGATATTGCAAAGCTCAAACTACCTTTCAGGCAGCAAACTGGTCAGCAGGCACCGATCTGATATCTGTGATCTGATTCACCTCGCAGTGCAGAATGTGCTTCTCCCCCCTGATGACCGCATACATAGCGTTTGGAGCGATATAATCACACGTGCGCTCAATCCGGAACTCCTCCCCAGGAACCTGGTTCCCAGAGTGAATCTGCATTCCTGTAATGACAGCATAGTCTGCTGTAGCGGGGTCGACTGTAAGGGAGATGAGGTTCTCCAGGTCGTCAGTGATGGCTTGCAGAGCAGCGCGAGTCACCTGCACCAGGGAAGGGCTGCCTGAGCTAGGGGGGATCTGTTCATGGGGCATGGGGATCAATGTCAGTGAGACAGGAAGGGAGGAGGGGAAGGAGGGGAGGAAAAAAAAAAAGGGTTAGTCTGATCAGATTTTGGTAAAACAAGGCAGACACCATTATGTCACATAAATACAGAAGCCACTGCTGCTGGTGGTTAGCCGTCAGTTTGTGGGCAGCTGCTGTCTACATTCCATATCACAGGCCATATACGTCCACTCTCAATGTATTCTTATCTTCGTTCTCCCTTGTTCCCCTCTTCGCTCAACCATGCCCATTTACACTGTCACTGTACCGCATCAGATCACAACGATACTTGATTTTCTGCGATTTCGATATTTTTGTGAGAAGAGTCCCCAGCACACATCTGCGCTGAATAATACACACAACAGCACTCCCAACCGCCATTTTCGCCCTACAACCCCCCACACCTCAAATCCCCCTCCCCCCGGCCTCCCTTCACCCCGAACATACCTTAGCGGCAAACTTCCTCTTAAGCAGAACGCATTCCGCGTTCTTGGGGTCCTCCTCAATCTCATCAGAGCGTGAGTACACTGAGAAACAACCCCCTCCACCCCATCCCCCCCCCCCCCCCCCCCCCCCCTCCTCCCCCCACCTCCCGTCACCACAAACACACCTTGGCGGCGATATTCTTTTTTAGCTGAACATATTCCGCATTGTTTGGGTCCTCATCGGTCTCTTTTGAGCGTGAGTACACTAAGAAACAAAGCGCCTCCACCCCCTTCCCTCCCCCCCAACCTCCCATCACCACAAACACACCTTAGCGGCGATCTTCTTTTTGAGCAGAACATATTCCGCGTTGTTGGGGTCCTCCTCGATCTCGCCTCCAGCGGAGATGTCGCCCTGGATGGCGATCAGCGCTCCGCACGCCGACGACGGCTTGCCTCGTGAGTGGTCCCCAGCACACATTTGCAGTGCCCATCCCTGACTAATGCACACACCCGCACACCCAACCCCCATCTCCCCTCAACCTCAACAATGCAAAAACCCGTACCTCAAACCCCCCTCCCGCCTCCCTCCATCTCCACACACCTTAGCGGCGATTTTCTTTTTTAGCAGAACATATTCCGCGTTGTTCGGGTCCTCCTCGATCTCGCCTCCAGCGGAGATGTCGCCCTGGATGGCGATCAGCGCTCCGCACGCCGAAGACGGCTTGCCGCGCCCGCGGCGAAGCAGCGACCCCACCTCGCCGCTCTCTCCAATGGACACGTGGGGGAAGCCGAAGAAGATGTCTGCAAGGGAGCAAGGAAGAAGCGGAGGGAAAAGGTTTGAGCGTTTTGAATGAGAAAGCAGGTTTGCCCTGGCCGTTGCGAACCTCGCCGCTTTCTCCAATGGACACGTGGGGGAAGCCGAAGAAGATGTCTGGAAGTTAAGAAGGGGATGAGAAGAATGGGAGAGAAGAGGGGAAATGTGCAATTGAAGGCATGCGGGATATAGAACAGGAAGAAAGTAGTCAAGGGATTGCGAAGCATCTTGCATCTTATGGTAGAATTCCAACCGCTTCACACGAAAGATTCGGGGAATGGCTTATGCCA